CACTACCGCCATACTCCTGACTCCGCCCCTCTCTCTCCCCTCACACTACCGCCATACTCCTGACTCCGCCCCTCTCTCTCCCCTCACACTACCGCCATACTCCTGACTCCGCCCCTCTCTCTCCCCTCACACTACCGCCATACTCCTGACTCCGCCCCTCTCTCTCCCCTCACACTACCGCCATACTCCTGACTCCGCCCCTCTCTCTCCCCTCACACTACCGCCATACTCCTGACTCCGCCCCTCTCTCTCCCCTCACACTACCGCCATACTCCTGACTCCGCCCCTCTCCCTCCCCTCACTCCACCGCCATACTCCTGACTCCGCCCCTCTCTCTCCCCTCACACTACCGCCATACTCCTGACTCCGCCCCTCTCTCTCCCCTCACACTACCGCCATACTCCTGACTCCGCCCCTCTCTCTCCCCTCACACTACCGCCATACTCCTGACTCCGCCCCTCTCTCTCCCCTCACACTACCGCCATACTCCTGACTCCGCCCCTCTCCCTCCCCTCACTCCACCGCCATACTCCTGACTCCGCCCCTCTCTCTCCCCTCACACTACCGCCATACTCCTGACTCCGCCCCTCTCTCTCCCCCTCACACTACCGCCATACTCCTGACTCCGCCCCTCTCTCTCCCCTCACACTACCGCCATACTCCTGACTCCGCCCCTCTCTTTCCCCTCACACTACCGCCATCCTCCTGACTCCGCCCCTCTCTCTCCCCTCACACTACCGCCATACTCCTGACTCCGCCCCTCTCTCTCCCCTCACACTACCGCCATACTCCTGACTCCGCCCCTCTCTCTCCCCTCACACTACCGCCATACTCCTGACTCCGCCCCTCTCTCTCCCCTCACACTACCGCCATACTCCTGACTCCGCCCCTCTCCCTCCCCTCACTCCACCGCCATACTCCTGACTCCGCCCCTCTCTCTCCCCTCACACTACCGCCATACTCCTGACTCCGCCCCTCTCTCTCCCCTCACACTACCGCCATACTCCTGACTCCGCCCCTCTCTCTCCCTCACACTCCCGCTATACTCCTCACTCCGCCCCTCTCTCTCCCCTCACACTACCGCCATACTCCTGACTCCGCCCCTCTCTCTCCCCTCACACTACCGCCATACTCCTGACTCCGCCCCTCTCTCTCCCCTCACACTACCGCCATACTCCTGACTCCGCCCCTCTCTCTCCCCTCACACTCCCGCTATACTCCTGACTCCGCCCCTCTCTCTCCCCTCACACTACCGCCATACTCCTGACTCCGCCCCTCTCTCTCCCCTCACTCCACCGCCATACTCCTGACTCCGCCCCTCTCTCTCCCCTCACACTCCCGCTATACTCCTGACTCCCCCCCTCTCTCTCCCCTCACACTACCGCCATACTCCTGACTCCGCCCCTCTCTCTCCCCTCACTCCACCGCCATACTCCTGACTCCGCCCCTCTCTCTCCCCTCACACTACCGCCATACTCCTGACTCCGCCCCTCTCTCTCCCCTCACACTACCACCATACTCCTGACTCCGCCCCTCTCTCTCCCCTCACACTACCGCCATACTCCTGACTCCGCCCCTCTCTCTCCCTCACACTCCCGCTATACTCCTGACTCCGCCCCTCTCTCCCCTCACACTACCGCCATACTCCTGACTCCGCCCCTCTCTCTCCCCTCACACTACCGCCATACTCCTGACTCCGCCCCTCTCTCTCCCCTCACACTACCGCCATACTCCTGACTCCGCCCCTCTCTCTCCCCTCACACTACCGCCATACTCCTGACTCCGCCCCTCTCTCTCCCCTCACTCCACCGCCATACTCCTGACTCCGCCCCTCTCTCTCCCCTCACACTACCGCCATACTCCTGACTCCGCCCCTCTCCCTCCCCTCACACTACCGCCATACTCCTGACGCCCCCCTCCCTCTCACCTCACTCCACCGCCATACTCCTGACTCCGCCCCTCTCTCTCCCCTCACACTACCGCCATACTCCTGACTCCGCCCCTCTCTCTCCCCTCACACTACCGCCATACTCCTGACTCCGCCCCTCTCTCTCCCCTCACACTACCGCCATACTCCTGACTCCGCCCCTCTCTCTCCCTCACACTCCCGCTATACTCCTCACTCCGCCCCTCTCTCTCCCCTCACACTACCGCCATACTCCTGACTCCCGCCCCTCTCTCTCCCCTCACACTACCGCCATACTCCTGACTCCGCCCCTCTCTCTCCCCTCACACTACCGCCATACTCCTGACTCCGCCCCTCTCTCTCCCCTCACACTCCCGCTATACTCCTGACTCCGCCCTCTCTCTCCCCTCACACTACCGCCATACTCCTGACTCCGCCCCTCTCTCTCCCCTCACTCCACCGCCATACTCCTGACTCCGCCCCTCTCTCTCCCCTCACACTCCCGCTATACTCCTGACTCCCCCCCTCTCTCTCCCCTCACACTACCGCCATACTCCTGACTCTGCCCCTCTCTCTCCCCTCACTCCACCGCCATACTCCTGACTCCGCCCCTCTCTCTCCCCTCACACTACCGCCATACTCCTCCTGACTCCGCCCCTCTGTCTCCCCTCACACTACCACCATACTCCTGACTCCGCCCCTCTCTCTCCCCTCACACTACCGCCATACTCCTGACTCCGCCCCTCTCTCTCCCTCACACTCCCGCTATACTCCTGACTCCGCCCCTCTCTCCCCTCACACTACCGCCATACTCCTGACTCCGCCCCTCTCTCTCCCCTCACACTACCGCCATACTCCTGACTCCGCCCCTCTCTCTCCCCTCACACTACCGCCATACTCCTGACTCCGCCCCTCTCTCTCCCCTCACACTCCTGCTATACTCCTGACTCCGCCCCTCTCTCTCCCCTCACACTACCGCCATACTCCTGACTCCGCCCCTCTCTCTCCCCTCACTCCACCGCCATACTCCTGACTCCGCCCCTCTCTCTCCCCTCACACTCCCGCTATACTCCTGACTCCGCCCCTCTCTCTCCCCTCACACTACCGCCATACTCCTGACTCCGCCCCCCTCTCTCCCCTCACACTACGGCCATACTCCTGACTCCGCCCCTCTCTCTCCCCTCACACTACCGCCATACTCCTGACTCCGCCCCACTCTCTCCCCTCACACTACCGCCATACTCCTGACTCCGCCCCTCTCTCTCCCCTCACTCCACCGCCATACTCCTGACTCCGCCCCTCTCTCTCCCCTCACTCCACTGCCATACTCCTGACTCCGCCCCTCTCCCTCCCCTCACTCCACCGCCATACTCCTGACTCCGCCCCTCTCTCTCCCCTCACACAACCGCCATACTCCTGACTCCGCCCCTCTCTCTCCCCTCACACTACCGCCATACTCCTGACTCCGCCTCTCTCTCTCCCCTCACTCCACCACCATACTCCTGCTCCGCCTCTCTCTCTCCCCTCACTCCACCGCCATACTCCTGACTCCGCCTCTCTCTCCCCCCTCACTCCACCGCCATACTCCTGACTCCGCCTCTCTCTCTCCCCTCACTCCACCGCCATACTCCTGACTCCGCCTCTCTCTCCCCCCTCACTCCACCGCCATACTCCTGACTCCGCCCCTTTCCCTCCCCTCACACTACCGCCATACTCCTGACTCCGCCCCTCTCTCTCCCCTCACTCCACCGCCATACTCCTGACTCCGCCCCTCTCTCTCCCCTCACACTACCGCCATACTCCTGACTCCGCCCCTCTCTCTCCCCTCACTCCACCGCCATACTCCTGACTCCGCCCCTCTCTCTCCCCTCACTCCACCGCCATACTCCTGACTCCGCCCCTCTCCCTCCCCTCACACTACCGCCATACTCCTGACTCCGCCTCTCTCTCTCCCCTCACTCCACCGCCATACTCCTGACTCCGCCCCTTTCTCTCCCCTCACACTACCGCCATACTCCTGACTCCGCCCCTCTCTCTCCCCTCACTCCACCGCCATACTCCTGACTCCGCCCCTCTCTCTCCCCTCACTCCACCGCCATACTCCTGACTCCGCCCCTCTCTCTCCCCTCACTCCACCGCCATACTCCTGACTCCGCCCCTCTCTCTCCCCTCACTCCACCGCCATACTCCTGACTCCGCCCCTCTCTCTCCCCTCACTCCACCGCCATACTCCTGACTCCGCCCCTCTCCCTCCCCTCACACTACCGCCATACTCCTGACTCCGCCCCTCTCTCTCCCCTCACTCCACCGCCATACTCCTGACTCCGCCCCTCTCTCTCCCCTCACTCCACCGCCATACTCCTGACTCCGCCCCTCTCTCTCCCCTCACTCCACCGCCATACTCCTGACTCCGCCCCTCTCTCTCCCCTCACTCCACCGCCATACTCCTGACTCCGCCCCTCTCTCTCCCTCACACTACCGCCATACTCCTGACTCCGCCCCTCTCTCTCCCCTCACTCCACCGCCATACTCCTGACTTCGCCCCTCTCTCTCCCCTCACACTACCGCCATACTCCTGACTCCGCCCCTCTCTCTCCCCTCACTCCACCGCCATACTCCTGACTCCGCCCCTCTCTCTCCCCTCACTCCACCGCCATACTCCTGACTCCGCCCCTCTCTCTCCCCTCACTCCACCGCCATACTCCTGACTCCGCCCCTCTCTCTCCCCTCACTCCACCGCCATACTCCTGACTCCGCCCCTCTCTCTCCCCTCACACTACCGCCATACTCCTGACTGCGCCCCTCTCTCTCCCCTCACTCCACCGCCATACTCCTGACTCCGCCCCTCTCTCTCCCCTCACTCCACCGCAATACTCCTGACTCCGCCCCTCTCCCTCCCCTCACACTACCGCCATACTCCTGACTCCGCCTCCCTCTCTCCCCTCACTCCACCACCATACTCACACACGGCCTCGTCACCTCCTGCCACGACTATTGGAACTCCCTCCTGTTCCCTCAAAAAACCCTCCATAAACTCCAACTGGTCCAAAACACAGCCGCCCGTCTCATCACACACACCCCCTCCATCAACCACATGACCCCTGTCCTCACCCCCTCCATCAACCACATGACCCCTGTCCTCACCCCCTCCATCAACCACATGACCCCTGTCCTCACCCCCTCCATCAACCACATGACCCCTGTCCTCACCCCCTCCATCAACCACATGACCCCTGTCCTCACCCCCTCCATCAACCACATGACCCCTGTCCTCACCCCCTCCATCAACCACATGACCCCTGTCCTCACCCCCTCCATCAACACATGACCCCTGTCCTCACCCCCTCCATCAACCACATGACCCCTGTCCTCACCCCCTCCATCAACACATGACCCCTGTCCTCACCCCCTCCATCAACCACATGACCCCTGTCCTCACCCCCTCCATCAACCACATGACCCCTGTCCTCACCCCCTCCATCAACCACATGACCCCTGTCCTCACCCCCTCCATCAACCACATGACCCCTGTCCTCACCCCCTCCATCAACCACATGACCCCTGTCCTCACCCCCTCCATCAACCACATGACCCCTGTCCTCACCCCCTCCATCAACCACATGACCCCTGTCCCCACCCCCTCCATCAACCACATGACCCCTGTCATCATCACACCCCCTCCATCAACCACATGACCCCTGTCCTCACCCCCTCCATCAACCACATGACCCCTGTCCTCACCCCCTCCATCAACCACATGACCCCTGTCCTCACCCCCTCCATCAACCACATGACCCCTGTCCTCACCCCCTCCATCAACCACATGACCCCTGTCCTCACCCCCTCCATCAACCACATGACCCCTGTCCTCACCCCCTCCATCAACCACATGACCCCTGTCCTCACCCCCTCCATCAACACATGACCCCTGTCCTCACCCCCTCCATCAACCACATGACCCCTGTCCTCACCCCCTCCATCAACCACATGACCCCTGTCCTCACCCCCTCCATCAATCACATCACCCCTGTCCTCACCCCCTCCATCAACCACATGACCCCTGTCCTCACCCCCTCCATCAACCACATGACCCCTGTCCTCACCCCCTCCATCACCACATGACCCCTGTCCTCACCCCCTCCATCAACCACATGACCCCTGTCCTCACCCCCTCCATCAACCACATGACCCCTGTCCTCACCCCCTCCATCACCACATGACCCCTGTCCTCACCCCCTCCATCAACCACATGACCCCTGTCCTCACCCCCTCCATCAACCACATGACCCCTGTCCTCACCCCCTCCATCAACCACATGCTCGTCACATACAAAGCCATCCCCAACCTCGCTCCTCCAAACCTGACTGACCTCCTCCAGATCTCCACACCTGCCCGCTCCCTCCGCTCCTCCTCCTCTCTCCTCCTGGTCCCTCCTGGTCCCGCCTCGTCACCATGGGGAGTAGAACCTTCTGCCGTTCTGCTCCCCAGCTCTGGAACACTCCCCCCTGACCTCCGTAACACCGACCACCTTAAAACTCATCTGTTTAGACCTGAGCCACTCACGGACATCATAACCACACTCTCCTCTGTCCATGAAGCTTTTCACTCTGTATTTTAGCTGTATCTAAAATGCACTTTTTTACTTGTGCACTTGAGTGTCAAAAAAGGCGCCTAAGAAATAAAATGTATTATTATTATTATTATTATGGCGGCAAGTGTTGAGTCAGATTTCAAGTTAAAAACAGTTATCGTCAGTCTTTTCAATGTGCTGTGATATTTATGAATTTAACGTCTTGTGTGACTGTATCTTTGTTCGGCCCTTTGAGTTTCCTTGTGTTTGAACTGTGCCATACAAATAAACTTATCATGCCACTCACCGCCTGCTCCTTCTCTCAGCTGCAGAGAGAGCTGGATCTGCACCGGGCTGAAGCCGCAGCTGCCCCCACGGTGCCCACCACGCGCTCGCACTCGGACTCGGAGGCGGTGCTGCAGGAGCAGAGGGTCCGAGGTCCCACAGAGAACCCAGTGGTGGACGCTCTGACCCTGGACCCTCTGAGTCTGGACGTCCCACTCTCAGGCCTGGACTGTGAGAAGAGGTTCCCCTGCATGAAGGAGGTGCGTCCTCTCTGGAAACTACATTTAAAGGAGCAGTGTGTACAAATGTGGCCAAAAGTGGTACTGCAGCCTCTCCCACTCTCCCTGACTCAGGTTGCCAGATATGCAGACGAATCCAGCTGGAACCATAACAGCTGAATAGACAAGAGTTTAGTCAACAACAAATCTATAACCAACACCTTTTTCACAAAGATAGAAATCCTGGTTTTATTCCTTGTTTTGCCGTTAATGATTTGAGAATCATAACGAGACCTTTTTTAGTTCTGCGCCACATGGTACTTTACCAGTGAGATTAGCTCCACGCGGTGAGTTCTGGCGCCCGGATCACAGACTTTCTGATTGGTGAAACGGTGGAGGGCGGGACATCGAAATGAAAACAAAATTTAGAGGGTGTAAAAGTAATTTTCAAATCCAAATATCTCTGAACTACTGTTATCAGTTAAAGAAGTATTGGAGAAGACCATGTTTTATTAATGCCTTATATTGCGACTTTAAAGCACACACACAGTTTACAAATGGGCAGGAAACGTTTTGGTAAATTTCCATGAGAAGTCAAACTGGGGAATTTTGGGAATATTCCATTAAAATGAAATGTATTTTTTGTATCCAGGCATTTTTCTGTTCTGTCTGATGTACTGCATGAGATCCTTGAAAACTCGATTAATTGCACTTTGGGAAACCGTCACACAGACACAGAGCCCAGGAGTGATGAATTACATGTCCAGGCATCTCGAAATCTTCTGCACATGTGATGGAGGCACGGGGCCAGCAGGGGGCGTGGTCTCAACGACCTCTAGGGATTGAGTTTATATGAACGGCATCTGTTTGTTTTAGTCAAGATTATACTGAAATAACCTTTCTTTCACTATATTTAAACTCCCAACCTTCGATTTGGAAGACGCCCATTTCATTCCTGTTTATTCCCATTAATTCCGATGCATTTTTTTTCTTCCGGAATTTAGCAACCCGAGTCACACATTTATTTGAGCTTTTGGTTCTCTTGTCAAAACAGACCTGGAGCCCCCCGGTCCCACTGTTTCCGATGAGACTTTGGAAATGAGAATATGGAGATTTATACATACATTTTACAGTAATGATGTATTAGATGAAGTGGAAATATTAACTTGAATGTTTGTTTTAAGAGATAGTCTTCTTGCCAACTCTAGAAACTTTGTATTCCTTCTTATTTTGTGAATAAAACACATTTTTGAAGAGATTTGAGCTGATTTTCCAGAGAGCAGCAGCCATCGCAGACATTTCTCCGTTTCTTCCGTCCGGACATGACTAATGTTGACAAATTTCACAAAGCTGAAGTCTGTAGAATGAGTAATGCGTGTTTTGTAGAATAAAAATGTAAATAAAACGATTTAAAGATATTACAAAGCGAAGCAAGCAGCGGAGCAGCAAGGAACACGTCTGCACACTCCAAGCAGGAAGTGAATTGTGCTATACAAATAAACTTGCCTTGCCTTGCCTTACATGTACCAAACACATGTAGGTCTGCACCAAAACCAAACTGAACCTAAAAATAACCTGAGCCTTCACTTTACATCTGAGTCCTGTGTAGGAGGAATGTGTTTTGTGTAATCCCATGTGTCACGGTTAGAGCAGCGTTGTTCTGCTCAGACGTCCTGATGTCAGGTCTGTAATCCTGTGTTTCAGGCCCTGAACGAGCTTTCGGACCGAGAAGGAGAGTCCTTTCCCGACGAGGACTCGGGAGGAGGGAGCCTGCTCAGGTAAAGGACCGACAGATGTGGTGAATGATAGAGTTTTGCTGCAGTTAACACAAACAGAACAATATCTTTTTTTAAATTTTTTAATTTTTATATAATTGTCTTTATTTTCAGTATTTCAAGGTCTGACAACTCATGGCAGATGGCAATAACAGTTCAAAACAAGAAGAAAAAAAAATAATAATTCAAACGAAAAAATAAAATAAAAATAAAAAGATGCCCCAGCTGCAGCCAAAAAATAAATAACAGACCAATACAACAGAACAATATCCAATGGTCACACACTACAGAGACCCCGACCGTGGAAGTCACAGGAGCCTGAAGATCTGTGGCTTTGTGCATTTTCCAGACAATGAGAGGAAACAGGCTCAAAACATAACGTCAAAGAGAGTCCCACTGGATTTATTTTTTAAAAGCCACTCAGTTCCCAGGCTTCAATGGAGAGTTGGACTATTCTCCTTTTCTTTAAAGGGGCTCTGTGTATTTTTGACAGTTGCTCCAAATGAAAAAACATGTTCAACCAACAAAAAATGTGACCTTTTTCAGAATATTTACCTCCACCATGTTTTTGAATTCTTGTCATGGGCTTGGAATTTGACTCATACATGTCCATGAGGCTGAGGACTGTCCAGGTCAATGCTCCATCTTGAAATACAGTGGGGGATAAGGGACAAAAAGCAGTTTGAGCGGGAGTTGGGGACCACTGTCAAAGAGAACACATATTGTCCTGTGAAGCCACCGTAGTACTTCAGATTACAGTACATGATCTCAGGCTAGATGGGAGTAAAAACTACACAGTGTACCTTTAAGACCTTTTTTTAAAACTTTGAGCCCATTGAATATAAGGAGGCAGCAGAAGTGAAGTAAGTAAGTAAGTAAGTATTTATATGCGACACGGTGGCTGAGTGGATAGCACTCTCTCGCCTCTCAGCAAGAAGGTCCTGGGTTCGAATCCCGGTCGGACCAGGGCCTTTCTGAGTGGAGTTTGCATGTTCTCCCCGTGTCTGCGTAGGTTTCCTCCGGGTACTCTGGTTTCCCCTACCACTAAAAATATGTACAATAGGTCTGGCATGCGCCTCCTGTACTGGCCCCGCTCCCATCTCTGTGTGGAGTGACAAATGCCCCCAAAAAAAATAACACTTGTAAACCGCTTTGAGACTCAGATCTGCAAGTGAAAAGGCGGTATATAAATACTTACTTACTTACAGAAGTGAAGGATACTGATACTGTAAGCGCGGCCTACCCCTTCTTTCTCTAAGTCAGAGTATCACATAAATACATTTGAGAAGTACCTGAGTCCGCCAGAGCTGCAGCTGTCCGGAGTCTGCCCTGGAGGAGGCCAGAAGGCTCTTTTTGCCGCGTTTAATAAAGGCGTTTAAAGATTTTGTGACTTTAAGACTTTTTAATGCCTCAGTCTTCTGTCTGAAACACAAACAGAAGTTTATTTATTCTTTTCACTTTGCTTTTCTTCAAGATGTGGCTGAAGCTGACCATCTCCGCTCTGCTCCCAACACATCTCTAACCCAAGGAAAACATTGTATTATTAGAACGACAAAAGCACACTTGGACATAAGCACAGAAGGAACGAAAGGACAAAAAGACCATCCATATTTACACGTGACGATGAACCCAGATGATGCCCAGACGTCCTTTGGTTCAGTGGATTAACACACAACCTCATGAGATTGGATTAAATTAAACCATTTCACATTCATTAAACCTTTAATCACCTTTTGTGTGACGTAAAGCATGATTAGAGCTCAAATATACAGTATCTCTTTGTGGAATCTTACTTTGTTTTAGTACGATCAAACTGTATCTCAACCATTTGGTAAAGGCCTATAGTCAAAAAAACTAGGGATGACAAAAAAACACACACACAAGAATGAACTATTTGTGTTATTAGTGTCCTACGTCTTAGAAAATCCCAAAAATAATAAAAGTAAGATTGCTTTCTTCAAGGAGTGAATGTTAAAGGGTTAATAATGAAAACAGAACCAAGAGTCCAACCACAGTTTTCTTTCTAAGTAGAGAAACAATCTGGATGCATTCACAAAGCTAACGTGGTGCAGGGAAGCTAACCTTCATATGTGAGTGGGTGGAGTGACGGAGCTCATACAGAAGTTTACTGGTGTGAAAAAGGAAGAGGAGGACTGAGAAACACAAATAACTTCTTCTCTTCCATGATGCATGAGCTGGAACGCTTCGGCAAAAGCTGTCGACAACTGTAGCGTCTATGTGTCATCGACCAGTGGAGATTTCTGGATTATTAAGCGCATCGCATCTACTTTTGACACCAACGTTACTTTGCAAATGACAGGTCTTCTTCTGAGGACAAACATCAAGAGGCAAATAAACATGGATCTGAGTTCATTAAGGAATTTACAGAATCATCAGACGAGAGACGATGGTTTTGGTTTGTGTGGGCGTCTCCGTCTGACCAAGTCCCAGTCGGTTTACACTAAGGCTTAGAGGGTTCTTACAATTGTCTGGTTTAGTAAAACAAAATAACATAATCTACTAAGGCTAGATGAACCTTCCTATAGTAACAATCCTCTCTCCAGTCATTTCTCATGACCCAACTCCTCCACATTTGTATTTGTGACCTTTTTCCTCAGAAGTACCACTGCTGGACATAGTTGATCTTTAGCAACACAGTTCTCCACCTGTCCACCAGGGGGCGCTGCTGTCTCACTTCCAAAATGTCGGTCTCCTTAGTTTTTCACCCGAAACAGATTTTCTAGGCATTCATTTCAAGTCAGTATCACGACCAACCTCTAATAAAGTGAAACCAAAACTGCAAAAAATGAATATATATATATATATCTTTAAACTCTTATTCAAAGAACCAGAAAAGCCTTAAAGATAAAGAAAACATAAAGAATGTTTTCACTATTTACTAAACTTACACGGTTGCCAGAATTTAAAGGTTGTGTTACTTTCTCTTGACATGATAATATCTGTGAAAAACTGCTCAAACGTCTGTTGTGTTGTTTCGCTCAGGGCCAAGTCCGTCTGCTCCATGAGCGACTTCCAGCGCCTGATGGACAGCTCGCCGTTTCTACCCGACAAAAGCCGCCTCTGCGACCGCGGCCCGGACGACGTCACACCCCCCCTCTCCCCCGACGACCTCAAGTACATCGAGGAGTTCAACAGTAAGGGCTGGGATTTCCCATCAGCCCTTGCTTCTGCTTCGACCATCTCTCCGCCGTTCCCCAGAGGAGCCGAATCGCTACCGCCGCCATCTTGGTATTTGACCACGAGCGCCACGTTGACCACAAGCACGCTGAGCAGTCCGGAACACTGCCACAGGACGCAGATGAGAGCTTCCGGAGCGGGAGCGGGGGTGGAGCATTATGGGTACTTGCACAATCCGACCAGAACGTCCCAAGCTAGCAACGGCAGAGGTGCTAGCATGAACGACGAGGTGTTTAGCTCAGGGAGGTGGCCTTGCACTGGACTAAGGACTTCACCGAACCCGTCCATCTGCCCCAACGTGGCGTTCCCTTCTCCGCTAGAGCTGCAGCTGTCCCGAAACCTGAGCGACGACATGAAAGAAGTCGCGATATCCGTTCGAAACGCCATCCGCTCTCCGCCCAGCCCTCACCTCCGCGACATCTCCTGCCAGACCAACGGTTTCACCACGAGAGGTACGCAAACGACGCAGACGATTAGCGTAGGGCTCCAGACAGACTTGTTGCGCAATCTTACCAGCAGCCCGCACCGCTGTCTTACGCCTAAAGGGGGCAGCACTCCCGTCTCGTCTCCTTCGCGCAATACCAGGAAAGTGCAATACTCTCCGGTGATCCAGAGCAAGTTCGAGCGCCCGTGTTGCTCCCCGAAATACGGCTCGCCCAAGCTTCAACGCAAACCGTCGTCGGTGAGTAAGACGGATATCGCGAGCGGGGCAAATCGCGCGCCAATGCCGACCACGCCGCAAAAGGGTAACAGCGAATCAGCTTGGGCGCGTTCCACCACCACGCGGGATAGCCCCGTTCACACCACCATCAACGACGGGCTGTCCAGTCTCTTTAACATCATAGATCACACCCCAGTTAGCTTCCAGGAACGCTAGGGGCAGATCTCCCAGTCCCGCTGCAGCTAATCGTGGAGACTCACGGAGATAAGAACTCGGAGGTGGTTAGCGTACGGCAGGATCTGTCCGCTCCGCCCGGCTACCACGCTGACGGAAAACGCAGCTCGGATTGTTAGCAAAATGCTGCAGGAGAGTTGTAGAGAGGAGCGAAGGCAAAGCGGCCAGCGGGAAGGCGGGAGCAGGACGGCGGAGGCGGACAGGCAGCCGGGGTGTATGGAGGTAAATATGCAGCAGCCATGGATCCACCGCTTCATCCTTCATTTGATTTGGGGCCCGTGTTTCGTAGACCAGACCTATGTGTGACACGGCCAAACCCCCAAAAGACAACAGAAAGATTACTGTGATTTCTTTTCCCAGATTGAAAGCTCTGACTGATGTGATGGTAATGTTCAATTTAAATATTCACTTTGCAACGGCTAGTTTTTTACTGCAGTGGTTCCCAACTGGTACGAAGGTGATGGTGTCATTACTGTAGACCAGGCCAAAACTATGTGGCCTTTCTGCCTCGCTGACCCCAAACTAGTCTTTGAGATCATAAAAAAAGCATGTTCACAGTGTCATCCAGCCAACTTCAGCTCCGCCCCCCAAAATAGACACGAACCTCTGGAGTTTTTGATTGAGTCACGAAAACACCACGGCGGCACGGTGGCTGAGTGGATAGCACTCTCGCCTCTCAGCAAGAAGGTCCTGGGTTCGAATCCCGGTTGGACCAGGGCCTTTCTGAGTGGAGTTTGCATGTTCTCCCCGTGTCTGCGTAGGTTTCCTCCGGGTGCTCCGGTTTCCCCTACCACTAAAAAATATGTACAATAGGTCTGACATGTGCCTCCTGTACTGGCCCCGCTCCCAAAAATAACAATTGTAACCGCTTTGAGACTCCGATGTGCAGTGAAAAGGCGGTATATAAATAAAGATTACTTACTTACTTACTTACTATGTGGCCTTTCTGCCTCGCTGACCCAAACTAGTCTTTGAGATCATAAAAAAAGCATGTTCACAGTGTCATCCATCCAACTTCAGCTCCGCCCCCCAAAATAGACACGAACCTCTGGAGGTTTTTGATTGAGTCACAAAAAAAACACCACATATGAAGCTAATGTAGCCGTGGAGAGGCTACATTAGTGAGATGACTTCTGTTGTGACCTAGGGCTATACAAGAATAAATTGTATTGTATTGTATTGTATAGTAAACACTAGTTCAATACAAATTCAATGTATTTGTGTACGAACCTAAATCACAACAGCCGTCGTCTCGGAGGACTTTCTCAAAGTTGTCGATTCGCCAACAACAGATGAGAGAATTAAACAAAGAAATACCGGAAATGCAATGATAGCAAACACACTTTTAGTAAATGTCTGTCAAATCTGAATCAATTTGGACATGTCGTACCATAAAGCCCAGAATCCAGGTTATCAGCACCTGGACAAGTCTGATGAAGGAATCTGCATAAACATGTGATCCAGGCCAACATTCTGTGAGAAACCTCTGTCTCCTATTGTTCCTGCTGTCGTTTCCATGCTGCCATATGGGGCCAGATTATAATTTTGCTGCTAAAAAGCTACTCAAAAAACTGCTAAATATCATTACAAAGCTAAAGCTAGCAGGCTATGGTCTCCGTGGACATTTGCAATTATGACAGTTGTCCCCCATTAAAGCCGTGACCCGACTGTGTGCCCAATGACAGACATTCTGCTTTTCTTAATCACTTTAGAAGAAGCCTGGGAGCGGATGTTAAGATACGACATGTAGAGTCATTTACAAACTGAAGTGACCAAAAGTTCCACTGTAGTCACTTTGTCGCCGGGGCCTTTGCTTCTGATTGATTGACAGGTGTGCGACGATGACTGTCCAAACTTACAGATGTCATTACGGTAATTGATCCACAAAATGTTTTCCACAAGATTTATGCAATGAACAAATCAAATCAATAGGAATGAAACTCAAAATGCAGTCGTGAAGTCAAACACTGTTCTTTATACACAGCATACACCCCTGACTGCGTGTGCGCCCCCAACTGGATATTTAAGAAAGTGCACCTAAACCAAAACTTTCCACCACATAAATGAATAAATATAATACCAATTAAACTAATAATTAGACCAAATTACAGGACAATAGTATCTAACTAAATTGGCCACAACACAAACTTGCAAATTAGCGAAAATAACAAAGAGATACAGTGTTTTTTTTATATAATTACCAGAGGTCCCTTGGTAATACTAATAAACTAATCCCTAAATTCATGTGTTGCCATAACGATAGCATCTTATAGTCCACTTAAAGGATATATAACTGATGGTAATGACACGAAACCCTTTGGAAACCACTGCTCACTCTTCATCTATTCTCTTCAGTGCTGTATCCACTGTTAGCTTGTGTCGCTAACGAGAATGTCTTGCAGTAACGACTCTGTTGGACCTCAGCCGGACTCTAATGCACTCAACTATACTCTTATAACGTGAATGTTTGTGTGTCGTCATAGTTACAGCGGCCGGAATGCCTGATTATATAAACACACTTCTCTGACTTGTATCGATGCATCCCCCAGTGTCGTGTCTAGAACCTCCGGAGCAGTCCATTTGACGGATGCTAGTCTCGGAAGTGCACACCTCGCTCCATTCATTTGCATGTACAATGTGGATCATTTTCTGTTTCTTGATATTCAACAGTTTATGGCAAAGATGCTGGTCCTGGACTGGTCCTGGTGTGGTCTCTCTTTCTATAGTCTCTCTCTGATCCCTCTCTGATCTCTCTCTGATCCCTCTCTGGTCTCTCTTTCTATAGTCTCTCTCTGATCCCTCTCTGGTCTCTCTTTGTATAGTCTCTCTCTGATCCCTCTCTGGTCTCTCTTTCTATAGTCTCTCTCTGGTCTCTCTTTCTATAGTCTCTCTCTGATCCCTCTCTGGTCTCTCTTTCTATAGTCTCTCTATGATCCCTCTCTGGTCTCTCTTTGTATAGTCTCTCTCTGATCCCTCTCTGGTCTCTCTTTCTATAGTCTCTCTCTGGTCTCTCTTTCTATAGTCTCTCTCTGATCCCTCTCTGGTCTCTATTTCTATAGTCTCTCTCTGATCCCTCTCTGGTCTCTCTTTCTATAGTCTCTCTCTGGTCTCTCTTTCTATAGTCTCTCTCTGATCCCTCTCTGGTCTCTATTTCTATAGTCTCTCTCTCATCCCTCTCTGGTCTCTCTTTCTATAGTCTCTCTCTGATCCCTCTCTGCTGGTCTCTCTTTCTATAGTCTCTCTCTGATCCCTCTCTGGTCTCTCTTTCTATAGTCTCTCTCTGATCACTCTCTGGCCTCTCTGTCTGGTCTCTCTCTTTCTGATCTCTCTCTGGTCCCTCTGGTCTCTTTCTGGTCTCTCACTGGTCTTTCTATCTCTCTGGTCTCCCTTTGGTCTCTCTCTCTCTGGTGTCTCTCTGGTCTCTCTCTCTCTGGTGTCTCTCTGGTCTCTCTCTCTCTCTCTGGTCTCTCTCTCTGGTCTCTCTCTCTCTGGTCTCTCTCTCTCTGGTGTCTCTCTGGTCTCTCTCTCTCTGGTCTCTCTCTCTCTGGTGTTTCTCTGGTCTCTCTCTCTCTGGTGTCTCTCTGGTCTCTCCCTCTCTGGTCTCTCTCTGGTCTCTCTCTCTCTGGTGTTTCTCTGGTCTCTCTCTCTCTCTCTCTCTCTGATCTTTCTATCCTCTATCTATGAAATACATTTCTTCTCCTGGACTGGTCTCGGACTGGTCCTGGTTCAGCTTGTTTTTCCACCAGAGAAGAGCAAGTCCTAGTTACCATAGCAACACCCGGTTTACGGCAGTTAGCATTTAGCCTGTAGCATTAGCCTTTAACAACCATACTAAATACTATATCTACTATACTACTACTTTACTGTATTTCAGTCACACTCACTGTTTCTAGCTCTTATTAAAAGACAGTAAACATATAAACGACTTTGGATAAACCTGGTGGAAAACTAAAACTTTTTTTCGTGTAAATTTCTCAGAATTCCATTGGTTTGAATGGGAGCAGTCAAAATGGCGGCTCTGGGAGTTCTAGCACTTTGAGAATTCTGGGAGTCCTGGTGTAAAACTTGCTTTTATCTGTTTGTTGATATTAAAGGAGACATATTGTGCTTATTGGTGTTGTTCAGAGAGATACTACCGCACTAATATTTAGTTTACTTTACTCTTGCAAAGTTTCACATCTTTTTTTCCGAGCACATCAACAACGGTCTCTCTCTGGTCTGTCTCTGGTCGCTCACTTTGGTCTCGTTCTGGTCTCTCTTTCTCTCTGGTCTCTCTCTCTCACTCTCTCTGATCTCACTTGTTTCTGGTCTCTCTGGTATCTTTCTGGTCTATGGTCTCTCTCTGGTCTCTCCCTCTAGTCTCTCTCTTGCCTCTCTCTGGTCTCTTTCTCTCTCTTTTTCTTTTTCTCTCTCTCTCTCTGGTCTCTTTCTGCTCTCTCTCTCTCTCTGGTCTCTTTCTCTCTCTTTTTCTTTTTCTCTCTCTCTCTCTGGTCTCTTTCTGCTCTCTCTCTCTCTGGTCTCACTTCTTTCTGGTCTCTCTCTGGTCTCTCCCTCTAGTCTCTCTCTTGCCTCTCTCTGGTCTCTTTCTCTCTCTCTCTTTTTCTTTTTCTCTCTGGTCTCTTTCTGCTCTCTCTCTCTCTCTGGTCTTACTTCTTTCTGGTCTATGGTCTCTCTCTGGTCTCTCCCTCTAGCCTCTCTCTTGCCTCTCTCCTCTGTTCTTACTTTCTGGTCTCTCTCTCTAGTCCTGCTCTCTGGTCTCTCCCCAATCTCTCTCTCTCTCTGGTCTCACTTCTTTCTGGTCTCTGGTCTCACTTCTTTCTGGTCTCTGGTCTATCCCTCTTGTCTCTCTCTGGTCTCCCCCTCTTGTCTCGCTCCTCTCGTCTTGTCTTGTCTCGAAAATGGCGCCGTGGCAAGAGCTCTGGTGTGTGCGCACACCGGGGTAGTCTTGCACAGTTTTCCAATGTGGTTTACTGCAAATGGCAAATAAATGAATCTAAATGAATCTGATCTGATCTGATCTTACTTTCTGGTCTCTCTCTCTGGTCCTTCTCTCTGGTCTCTCTCTGTCTGAAACACATGAATGCAACTGTAGAAAAAATGACAACCTATCAACATTTTATGCATAAACAAAAGTCCCACCCATAACAAACAAGACATTCACACAACTCCAAGTTCCTTTTGATCCAATGATTCCCCTTTTGAGCTTTAAAATCCCTCTCTCCACAAATACATTTATTTACAAATGATCTATCTCTAAAACAGATGTTGGCAATAGATCGATACAGCTCTACTTTCATTTGTCTCTGTAAAATACCCAGAGATAGATTGGTTGTTTGTGAATCTAGGACAACAGAGGCTTACTCAAAACACACAAGAATTACATTTTTTTGCCGAGATTACCCTGCGGCACCACAAGCAGCGGCGTATACCGAGGTGTATAATATGTCCCCTTTAAAAGAATCTCTTCTCTTCCTTCCTGGTGTTCCTGGTGTTCCTGGTGCCTAACCCTGCTCTCCTGTGTCCTCTGGTGCAGACCCATGTCATACTAACCACTCCCTGGGGGCTGTAGTCCGGATGTAAGTTCCCTGTCTCTCTGGGCCGTAGACGAGGGGCCCCCTGCTGGACGTGTCTTGTCACTGCATGCATCACAGGACAGACGTGTGACCCGCAGGAGACACCATCACTTTGACTCGTGCATGGTTTTTTTTGTGCAGAGATCATCCGATGTAAAGGAGCACACAGTGTGGGTAGAAGCGGCTCTCCACTCCCCCCTAGTGGTGGGAGTGGACTTAAAGCCACGTAGAGAAAAAAATAATACAAATATGAGGTAATAAGGGCTTTTTATCTTATTTTGAGCACTTTCTGACTGCATTAAAACAAGATTCTCCAATGGAACAAAGTAATCTAGTCTTATTTAAAGAACTGTTGCTTTATTTTCCTCATTCCAAAGGAGACATTTTTGTATCTTTTGAAAACAAGATAATTTTGCTTTGTCCCATTGAAGAATCTTGTTTAAAGGCTCAAATTAAGATACATCTTTCCAGATTTGAGCAATTTCTGACTTATTTTCATCACTTTTTGCAGTAAAATCTGGTTCTCAGTTTGGCTTTATCACTAGTTTTCACATATATGTATTTTTGGATAGAACCAGGACCAAGAGGGACTAAAGAAGGACCTGGTACTGGTTTCACAGGACTGGTGCAAGTCTCACAATTGTGGTAGAGTAGAGTAGAGTAGAGTAGAGTAGAGTAGAGTAGAGTAGAGTAGAGTAGAGTAGAGTAGAGTAGAGTAGAGTAGAGTAGAGTAGAGTAGAGGCAACCCACTTTCTAAGAACCACTGGAGAATGCCACTTTGAAAAAAAAATGCTAATAATGAAATCTATCCCAAACTGTCGAAGTAAATATAGTGTTGTTGGTGAACAGTAGAAACCCTCTGTGTGGCCCTTTACCTTCATCCAGACAGTAGAAACCCTCTGTGTGGCCCTTTACCTTCATCCAGACAGTAGAAACCCTCTGTGTGGTCCTTTACCTTCATCCAGACAGTAGAAACCCTCTGTGTGGTCCTTTACCTTCATCCAGACAGTAGAAACCCTCTGTGTGGTCCTTTACCTTCATCCAGACAGTAGAAACCCTCTGTGTGGCCCTTTACCTTCATCCAGACAGTAGAAACCCTCTGTGTGGCCCTTTACCTTCATCCAGACAGTAGAAACCCTCTGTGTGGCCCTTTACCTTCATCCAGACAGTAGAAACCCTCTGTGTGGCCCTTTACCTTCATCCAGACAGTAGAAACCCTCTGTGTGGCCCTTTACCTTCATCCAGACAGTAGAAACCCTCTGTGTGGCCCTTTACCTTCATCCAGAGCACATTGTGGTGTTGGTTTTTTGTTGCTGTGTGAGATTTTGGTGGATTTTTGTGCCAAACTGTTCCTCAGTGTGCATCACGACCCTCCTCCTCCACACGGACAGAGCAGGTGTAGTCTGCTGGTCCTGCTCTGGGCTCACTCTGGTCCTGAGGCTGCCTGATTGTAAGGTTATTTGTGTAGCACAGTTCATACACAACTCAAAGGGCGGAACAAAACAAGACAGAAACGGTCACACAAGGCAAAAAATACATCAATAATCACAGCATGAATCTGAAACGCTTTAGTCCTGAGTCCCAGCAGGAGGCCGGTCCCTGTGCTCCTCAGAGTCCCAGCAGGAGGCCGGTCCCTGTGCTCCTCAGAGTCCCAGCAGGAGGCCGGTCCCTGTGCTCCTCAGAGTCCCAGCAGGAGGCCGGTCCCTGTGATTTTCTTTTCCTCCCTTTGGACTTGTCTTCTGTGTCTGTTGTTCTTGCCTCGTGCTGTTGTTTGGACCTACATTAAAGACTGAAGAATGTTCTGTTGTTTCCATCCTTTCATGACGTGTGTTGGTTTGTTACTCATTTATAACTTCACCAGCTCTCCGCCTGTCTCTCGCTCTCTGTCTGTCTCTATGTCTGTCTCTGTCTCAGTCTGTCTCTGTGTCTGTCTGTGTCTCTATCTGTCTCTCTCTGTCTCTGTCTCAGCCTGTCTCTGTCTGTGTCTGTCTCAGCCTGTCTCTGTCTGTGTCTGTCTCTGTGTCTGTCTCTGTCTCAGCCTGTCTCTGTCTGTCTGTGTCTGTCTGTCTCTGTCTCAGCCTGTCTCTGTCTGTCTGTCTGTGTCTGTCTCTGTCTGTCTCTGTGTCTGTCTCTCTCTCAGTCTGTCTCTGTCTGTCTGCCTTTGTCTCTCTCTGTGTCTTTCTCTTTTTTTCTGCATATGTTTTTCTCTGTCTGCCAGTTTCTGACTTTCCCTGTCTGTCTCAGCCTGTCTCAGTCTCTGTCTGTCTGCATATGTTTGTCTGTCTGTATGTCTCTGCATCTATCAGTGTCTCTGTCTCTCTGTCTGTCTTTCTCTATGTCTGTCTCTCTGTCTCTGTCTGCATCTCTGTCTGTCTCTCTGTCTGTCTGCCTCTGTCTCTATCTGTCTTCAAAATCTTATCTTTTAGTCTCACACTCATTGTCTCAGTGACTTACTTCACTCTAAAAACACATTGGTTGAAAAACTCTGGTAAAACTAACATGCTTTAGATTCACCAAAGCACAGGTCAAAGTGGATCTGCTGGATAACATTTATAACATTTATAACTTCAACAAAATATCAACTCTAATCCGACCCCAGCCCTGTGCATTTCCACTGCACTTCCTGTTGTCTCTCTGCTGTTCACATAAACACACGAGAAGCAGGAATCAACAGCTGCAGATAGAACCGTGTCCAAATCCCCTTCTGAATCCAGGGGGCGCTCTAGCAATACTAAAATACACACATTGGCTTAATAAAAGTAATGGCTCATAAAGTCCAAATACTGTATGTCTGTTGTGGTGCCATCTACAGGCGAAATTTTGTCAGATCTCAGAAGCTAAGCAGGAGAGGGCCTGGTTACTACTCTGATGGGAGTCCTCTGGGGATACCTGGTGCCAGTGCTGCGCAGTGTTGTGTCCTAAGTAAAGACACTTCTCTTTCATACTTTTCTTAGAATGAGCCTGATGTGTAAGTGATTGGTCAGAATTACACTTTATAGATTGGTCGGTTGTTTTAACAAAAAGATTGGTCAGACACATTACGACCTCCTGCTTAAACCAAACTGGAGATTTTTAATTTAATTCAATGTATCTTTGCACAGGCCTAAATCACTACAGCAGTCATTTCAGAGGACTTTAAGTTGTCGATTCGCCAACAAGAAATGCACCCAATGTTGTGTTGTTGTAAAAATTTCAAAAAGACAGAATTGTGCATGAAAAGTGCTAATTATCCACCTGCATCAGCTCCAAAGATCAATCACTGCTTCTCAAATCAAGACGTCTCAACTTCTGTCCAAAAGTTTAAGTTAAAGTTAGTCCCGTCCAAAGGATCCAAAACCATCGACCCACAGTCACTGCTGGTTGCACCTATGGCCCTGCACTAAACAAAGGGACAAAGGATATCTGGAGGTCAACATTTAGTTTGGAAGCAAAACCTGGACCAGACTTTTACCTTTTGTACAAACTGACATGACTAAATGTTAAATGTTCATTATGTCGTTCATGTTGAAGGCTGAGAAGGTTCTAATAAAACCAAAGTGTAAAGAAGCTAACATGACTAGCTTCTTTACACCTTTGTCGTATTCGCTTTACATTTCTATAACTGTGACTGAGCTCTGCTACAGGGAACCAGACAAAATCAAAAGTTCTTGACGATAAAGCCTTGCAACTGTACAAAACTCATCTTTTCTGCCAGGATTCTTCCGCAGAAAACTCGCAGCCAAACACACACCGAGCCATCAGCGCATCACGCCCAGTTCTTTAAAAAAACAATTGGCTTTTCTTCCAAAAATCAGTTCTTACGAAGAGTGGAGGACTGTTTTCACTCTTGTCTTGTAGCCTTCACCCTTTAATGGTTTGCTCAATCATTTGGTGGATCACTTTTTGAGGCACTATATCTACTACTACCGTCAAGCTACATCTCAACCATTTTGCAGAGGCCTATAATTAAAAAACTATGGGTTAAAACCGAATTATTTTGTAATTAGTGCTCATACAATCAAAAATACATTGCTTTCTTTAAGGAGTGAACATTAAAGGGTTAAAGAATGAGTCTCTTTGCTTCTGGAAACCCGTTTGTCTTCTCAGGTCCATGATCGCTGACCTACACAGTATTCTAAACCTTATAGCTTCTCATCTGACCTTCAAAAAGCAAAAAAATCCGTCAAACTTGAAACCAGCAACATCAGAATCTCGTGTTTGTGTCATTCATTCCTCCTCTAACCTCCATGTGAGTCTAAACCGTTGGCATGGTTTGGTTTTGTGGCCTCCTCTTCCTCCTCTTCATCGCTCACCTCTCTCTCTCCTCCTCAGGACCTGCCTCGCTCGCCTGTGGCTCCTCCTCTGGACTCCTGCTTCCACCGTCCAGCGCGTCCTGCCAACCGCCGGCCTCCGTCACGGTGGGCCCGGTCCCCGTCCCCGAAGTGGAGCAGCCTGGCCAACGTGCATTTCACCTTTGCCACGGCGAAGGCCCAGGAGGTCTGAGGTCTGCTGAGTCACGATGGTTCTGCACTTCTGGGTTTAGACTGACAAAAGCCACGTTTCCACAAGCTCGACTCTGCCATACTCTACTCTACTCTACTCTACTCTACTCTGGTTAAACTGATGCTAGATGCTATTCGATGCTATGCTAGTCCTCTGGAAGTCGGGAATTCCAGTTTACATGTTGGTTTTACCGACTGGACTAAGGTTAAGTTCTACTATATAGATAGACAGAGAGATAGATTCTTTATTGATCCCCGTAGCCGTAGGAGAAATTCAGGTGTCCAGTAGCAGCAAAAATAAAAAAATATGGACATTTTTCTTCTGCATTACACCCGTCCTGCCATCCCACTCGGGCCTCTGTCAGAACTACCACTAATAAGACCAAGAAATGGGTGTTTTAATACCGTTTCCATCCATTTTCTTCTGCTGTATCGGAAGACGAAGCAGAGGGGCCCAGACCTATTCAATTCAATTCATTCTTGTATCAACAGTATTTATCTCGAAAGACTTAACAAAACTGTTGAATTTGCCAAGACGGATCAGAGAATCAAACCCAACAAATGCAATGTTAAAAAAAACACATTGGTCCATAAGGGGCAGAGACCAACGTCCATAAATGTAGGAATCCAGAGACGTTCCCAGACCAGCTGAGAGAAACAGTCCCTCCGGCGTGTCCAGGGCTCGCTCTCTTTGGGGAGATGTCTGAACAGTTGAAAACCCAAATATTGATAGATTGGTTGGTTATTTATGGGCACATAACTACCAACTGTTTAAAACAACAAGCAAAAAAACTGTAGAAATGTAACCAGTCTGTTTTCAGAGTGTTGTGGGACTATACCAGCAAACTCATGTGGACCGCTCGTATCCGCCATCTTGTCCTTTCAGTTATTTCTAATTTGACTTCAGAATAAACCAGCCTCGCTCCTGATTGGCTCTTTGGTTGCCGGGTAGTTACTATGGGAGAAATTCACTTCAAATTCCCGCCCATGGAGCCTGTTCGAGCTTCATCTGAGCTAGCATCTGAAGCGTCTGAATGGCAAAGCGACCAGAGAAAGTAGAGCCGAGTCGAGCCAGGCCAAGTCGGGCTTCTGGAAACGTTGGCTCATCTCATCACATCCAGCCTTTTTTCTCATTCAACACCTGTTTGTTTTTGATTCAAGCCAAGTTGTTTAAGTTGCCGTAGCTTTAACACCGGAAGTGAGAAAGTCCGTCGCGCTCAGCCGCCTCAAAGGTTGCGTCCACGTTCTTTATAAACTTTGGTTTTGTCCTAGATACAGATGAGGAAAAGAAGAAACTGTGGAACTCTTTTGGGAATTTAGCTTTTTGGGATGAAAGCTTCAAACTCAGATCTGGAAAATATGGCATTTTCTCGGCTCCACAAAGGTGTAATCTTAGGGCAAAAAGTTGGAGTAAAAGTCTCGGTAAATCACGAAGGCTTTTGTGAACGGGTGACTGAATTGTCTGTGTTTGGACAGTGAATTCCACCGTAGAATGTTGAAATATGTCGGAAGAGAATGTAGCGATGGACGTGGACGCAGCCTCACCCTCCAGAGTCACCCGGAGAATATCCAAGAAGGGAATAAAAAGTCCTGGTCCACATTGATGGTTTTTTATGTTTTGCAAACATCAGCAAATTATCAAATGATTGTAAACATGACAGAGGCGACTGGAGGCAGAAGTGGAGAGAAACGCACAACTGTATAAAAATATGTTGGAAAATGTCTATATTGCTCCCCATAGATGATAGAGTCTCTCTCTCTGGTCTCTCTCTGGTCTCTCTCTCGCTGGTCTTTCTACGACCTCTCTCTGGTCTCTCTCTGGTCTTTCTCTGGTCTCTCTCGCTGGTCAATGGTCTCTCTCTCTGCTCTCTCTCTCGTCTCTCTATGGTCTCTCTCTCTGGTCTCTCTCTCTGGTCTCTCTCTCTGGTCTCTCTCTATGGTCTCTCTCTGGTCTCTCTCTCTGGTCTCTCTCTATGGTCTCTCTCTGGTCTCTCTCTCTGGTCTCTCTCTGGTCTCTCTCTCTGGTCTCTCTGGTCTCTCTCTCTGGTCTCTCTCTATGGTCTCTCTGGTCTCTCTCTCTGGGCTCTCTCGTCTCTCTCTCTGGTCTCTCTCTATGGTCTTTTCCCTGGTCTCTCTATCTGGTCTCTCTCTAGTCTCTCTCTCTCTGCTCCCTCCCTCCCTCTCTCTCTCTCTCTCTCTCTCTCTCTCTGCGCGTTCTCTCTCTGGTCTTCCTTTCGCTATGACTTTAAAAAACGTATTTTGAAAGTCCCAAACTGATTCTAACCGGTTCCCGTCCTCCCCGCGGTGAAACACTGCTCAAAACAACACGCCAAATCATTCCCAACACTGTCCCATCTCCCCACACAGGGCCACAGAGAGAAAAACCCAATAAGAAAAGCCAATTTTGCCTCCAGTTTCCTGCTTTTTCAAGAATCTCTCAACAACCTACAGTTTAGCACTTTCACCAACACAACTGCGTGAAAAATGAAAGCAATCCTACATCTTTCAAATCACTCACAAACAAACAGCTCAAACATATCGGTGAAGCCCGTGGTATGGGAGCTACAGCCAGTACCTCAAAGCCCAAGTCCCTGTGGGTCACCTGGGCCTCACACCAGCGGCGATGTCCCGGTCCAGTCTCTGTACGGGTCCCAACAAAAGCACTGGATCAATCAGTCCGATCTTTTGTAATTTATTTATGCTGTTTTTTAAGTAAATGCACTTGTTTTTATTTTCTATTGTGAGGAATGTTGAACAGACAGTAGAGGAGGTTCTCTTCTGGTCCAAACCTGGGGACCGAGGCTGCGGGTCGAGACCATGGGGGATAGATCTAGAGAAGATAAGACACATTTTATTGATCTGACAATGGAGGAATGCACATGTTGCATTTGGCTTCAATAATATCACTCAGGGTGTGCAAAAACAGGAAAAAGACAGGAATTGTGCAAATATGTGAGGAAGGTAAAGGTTATCATGTGTGCAATAAAGGTATCTTACAATTAAAACACTGACTATGGCAGAGTTTAGTCGTTAAAGTAGCAATATGTAAGATTTTCATGTCGAGTCATCATTAAAGGGCCTTTATCTGTCAAAAAGCGTTAATAAAACCTGCTCTTTTCCAATACGTCTTTCACTGAGATAGTCCCATTTCAACATTACTTTTCCAGCCTCTAAATCTTGTTATTGTTTTCATTTCGATGTCCCGCCCTCCACCGTTTCACCAATCAGAAAGTCTGTGATCCGGGCGCCAGAACTCACCGCGTGGAGCTAATCTCACTGGTAAAGTACCATGTGGCGCAGAACTAAAAAAAGGTCTCGTTATGATTCTCAAATCATTAACGACAAAACAAGGAATAAAACCAGGATTTCTATCTTTGTGAAAAAGGTGTTGGTTATAGATTTGTTGTTGACTAAACTCTTGTCTATTCAGCTGTTATGGTCCCAGCTGGATTCGTCTGCATATCTGGCAACCTGAGTCAGGGAGAGTGGGAGAGGCTGCAGTACCACTTTTGGCCACATTTTTACACACTGCTCCTTTAAGTGATTTATTATAAGTATTTGTATGTGTTTCTTTTATTATTATGTTTTGGACCTCTTTTGGGTCTAAATAACTCAGAAAACCACATTTTTTCTTGTGGTTTAAAAATATGGAGAATCACTGGGCTTTGACATTATTTGCACGTTTTTTGAGACTTTGCCACCAAGCTCTGAAAGTTATTGTTTTTCCATGAAAGACGACACCGCTCTGTAACCAAACACGTCGAAAGCGTTATGTGTAGTCATAGTCAAAAAGGGTGTAGCATTTGGTCCGCGGTCCTCCAGTTGAGAACCTCGTGCTGTCACTGATGCTGGATGGACTGGTTTGGTGCAGTTTGGACTAGTCTTCCTCTGTTTAACCCAAAGTATGCACTAAGAGCTGAGGAAAGCTCTTAGTGCTCTGACGTGAGCATGAAACGCAGTGAGATTTTGTGACATTCGATCCAGTTCCATGTATTTGTGTGTCGCCCTAAATCACAACGTCCGTCGTCTTGGAGGACTTTGATCCAATCCACTTTACACATTTTATTAAAACAAGTTTCCAAAGAGCTGAAACTTTGGAAACTCGAGAATCACAACGGTTTCAACACAGGAAATGCAATAATCCAACTCTATACCAGGGGTCTCCAAATCAGAGAGCTACTTTTACACTTCAGAAGAGGCAGAGAGCTACTTCTTTATGCAGTCGTAACACAAATATATGTCATAATTAAGAGAGAAAACACGTATAAAGAACAGTATGAAAGATATACTATAATACCTATAACCCTATTTTGTTAAACTTAGAATAGATATGTGATTACTCAAAATGTATTAATTCAAGATCATCTACCTAGCAGCTACCTGAAAGGGGCTGGCGAGATACTGGTAGCTCCCGAGCCACAGGTTGGAGACCCCTGATCTGTTCTATTGATCGACCAATTTCTCCTAAAGGACGAAAGGCAGAGGTTTTGGCCCACCTCTCGGTCTACTACCACTCAATAACAACAAACACGTAGGATCCATTGGCCATACACCAGTGTACGCAGACTTTGGGGGTCAGGGGGGTGAAGTGTCTGGCCCAAGGACACAGCAGCAGTCACCAATGGTTCAGACCTGGCAGGATTCGAACCACCAACCTTCAGCTCAGGAGACACGCGTTACCAACTGAGCTACACTGCAAAAACTGATGAAACGTGAGGTTATAAATGCTTGAATAAAGTGGTTTTTATCTTAACCCTTAAATGTTCACTCTTTGAAAAAAGCAATGGGGGATTTTCTATGTAGGAGCACTAACAACAAAAAATAATCCGTTTTTATTTTTTTTTATAAAAAATGATAATAATAAATTTTATTATTATCATTATTATTATTATTTGTATTATTATTAATATTATTATTATTATCATTATTATTATTATCATCATTATTATTAATATTATTATTATTATCATTATCATTATTATTATCATTATTATTATCATTATTATTATCATTATTATTATCATTGTTATCATTATTATTATTATTATTAGTATCATTATTATTAGTATTATGATTATTATTATTATTATTATTATTATTATCATTATTATTATCATTATTATTATTATGATTATTATGATTATTATTATTATTATCATTATTATTATTATTATTATTATTATTATTATTATTATTATTATTATTATTATTATTATTAGCAAATGGTTGAGGAAAACATTAAAGGGTTCGTGTGAGTTCATTCTGACTGTGTTAAAACTCTAAATTCCTCGTCATTTAGTCTCATTTCAAGAACTTTGACTTTATTTTCTCGTCCAAACTGAGACACTTCTTGTATCTTTTTAAAACTAGATCATTTTACTTTGTCCCGTTGGAGAATCTTGTTTTAAGGCTCAGTCAGAATGTGCACAGATTAAGATGTAGTTTTTCTAAAGTGACACTATAGTGGACAGGACCTGTAGGGGAGCCACCAGTAGCTCGCCTCACTCTTCCAGGTAGCTCGCCTCATTCTTCCAGGTAGCTCGCCTCACTCTTCCAGGTAGCTCGCCAAAGGATTTTATGATTCATTATGATTATTTATTATTGTAAACGCACTTACTTTGTCACAAGTAACAAATATGTGATGACAAATAGCGACTGTACCCGATATCAGTCTCGTTCACACCAAAATATACAACAGAAAATCTCCAGGGCCGCATTAAAGAGTAGCTCTCTGCCTTTATCATCCCGGGAAAGTAGCTCTCTGGGTGAAAAAGGTTGGACACACCTGCTGTAGGCTCTTTGGAAGCTTGTGATGTCACATGAACGCAGACTATACATGATATTCTGTCCTCTAATGTTGCAAAAAAGTGGAACCACATCATGAAGGACGTGGAAGAGCAGCCGTGTCCTTCATGGGATTCAAACTGCCAACCTGTGGAAGCCTCCAGACCACTGCCCTTTACCTCAGTGGAAACGTGGCTTCTCTGTGAGTGCGTCCCAAACAGCGGGCCACGACCCCATGTACAGCCGTGTGCATGCCTCTGGACACTAGCCCTTTAGTGCATGTGGATCCGTCTTTCGTGGTCACTTTTAAACGTCACTCGGTTTGAAAAGTTCGTCTTCTTGTTTTGGTTTTACCGACAGACGGACGCTGTACAGTTGTTGTCGTTGGGAATGAGCTGAATGTTGCAAATGAAAGTCTGTGAAGTCAAATAAAGAGCTAAAAGTATCAAAGTGAATGGAAATAAACATGATTGTCTATTTACAGATCTGCTGTGTGGTGTTTTACTGAAAATCAACACGTTTAGATTGTTTAAGAACATTTATATTACTCCTGTTGCTCTTTATGAAGCATGTAGTTTGTATGAATTCTTTAGATTGAACTAAAACAAAAGAAATTGGAGATTTGATTTTGTTTTGTTTCGATGATTGCGCAAAAGCCCCCGGTGACAGCTTCAGTGACAGACTGATCCACCCTCGCTGTGAAGGAGAGGTGCCGCAGGTCTTTCTTTCAGAAATTATAATACATGTTCAGGATCGTCAAGATTAATTTATTAATGTCCTGTAGGAAAACAGTCTTGGACTCACAGGCTGCAACAATTTGCCGCTCTCTTCCACAAGGACAGAGCTACGGCGCTTTATTTACTGATCCAGTTCTCAAAGTAAAAGGTCAACACTGATCCCACACATCAATCAAAATAAACCGGTGCCCGACGCTCAAATAGATTCTTGCAAATGACGCCATCCATAGAGATAATAATAATATTAATTGAAAACTAATGTAAACAAAACACAAAACAAACCAACACAAACATTGCTTGTTAAATAAAGAATTTCATTCTTGAGTAAAAATGGTCTGGACCTTCCAAGGCTGAAGAGTTGAAAACACAAATAAAACCCAGTAACACAGACAGAGACCATCACCGCTCTGCTCCATGGTCCTGGAGGGCCACAGATGTGGGCAGGAACGGGTTCTTGAACCGGTTTAAATGTCTTTTCTTATTTCTAGTTGGTTCTCTGTAGCAGTGGCTGATGGGAGGAGCTCATTTTGGGCCTCATGGATGAAACTTGCGTACGGCCAAATCAGAGTGTAAATGAGGCCTACGCAAAAAATGTGCACTTACACATTTATCAGAATCAGAATCATTTTTATTGCCACGTAAGTAACAGGAAGTCACAGACTTGGAAATTGCTTTGGCTCAGTGCAACAGTCAGAAAGAGATAATAAAAATAAAGAATAAAAAACACTTCTAATGAATAAATTAAAATTTTAAATAGAGTTACAGTTACTATTTACAATATCCAAGTGCACATGGTGCACACAGTGTAAGGTGACAGCAGTACAGTGAAGTAAAGTAACATATGATGGGCAGTAAAGTGACTTTATAAAGGGCGGGGGGACAGGTTAAGAAGTGTTCAAGAGTCCAACAGCAGAGGGGAAGAAACTGTTCTTGTGGCGGGAGGTTCTAGTCCTGATGGACCGCAGTCTCCTGCCTGAGGGGAGTGGTTGGAATAGTCCATGTGCAGGTGAGAGGGGTCGGCTGTGATACGACCAGCCCGGCCTCGAGCTCGGGCGACGTACAGGTCCTGCAGCGATGGAAGGCTGCGGCCGATCACTTCCTCTGCAGAGCGCACAATGCACTGTAGTCTCTGTTTGTCCCTGACTGTGGCTCCAGAGAACCACACGGTGATGGAGGAGGTGATGGAGGAGGTGATGGTGGAGGTGATGGAGGAGGTGATGGAGGAGGTGAGGATGGACTCGATGATGGCCGTGTAGAACTGCAGCTTGGCTTTCCTGAGCTGCCGCAGGAAGTACATCCTCTGCTGGGCCTTCTTGATGAGGGAGCTGATGGTCGGCTCCCACTTGAGGTCCTGGGTGATGGTGGTGCCCAGGAAACGGAAGGACTCCACAGAGGTGATGGGGGAGTCCATCACGGAGGGTGGGGGCGGGGGGACAGTGCTCTTCCTGAAGTCCACAATCATCTCCACTGTCTTCTGGGCGTTCAGCTCCAGGTTGTTACCACTGCACCAGGACACCAGCCGGTCCACCTCCCTCCTGTAGGCGGACTCATCGTTGTTGGAGATGAGTCCAATGAGGGTGGTGTTGTCCGCGAACTTGATCTGCTTCACGGAGTCGTGGCTGGAGGTGCAGTGGTTGGTGTACAGGGAGAAGAGCAGGGGAGAAAGAACACAGCCCTGTGGGGCTCCTGTATTTATAATCCGAGAGTCCGAGACATTCTTCCCCAGACGCACTTCCTGTCCGTCAGGAAGTCAGTGATCGTATTGAAAGCAGAGCTGAAGTCCACGAACAGGACCCTGGCGTAGGTCCCCGGGGAGTCCAGGTTAGAGCCCTGCACTTGAGCCCTTGGCCCGAGGGCCCCGACGGCCCGACAGCCCGAGGGCCGGGCTTCGGGCCGATAACCGCATAATGACCTCGGACACGGGCCGGGCTCGGGCTCTTCATTTTCAGAGCGGCAGAATAGATTTACGAACGCACCCACTGAATATAGCGTTCTATCACGCTGTAGTGTTTGTTGTTCTGTGTAGTGTTGTCATTGACGGCACATAGCGTTACTTACAGGTGTGTTGCAGCATCTGTGTATCATACATCTGTGTATCATACAGATGTTCACTCTGCACCACTCCGCACACACAGAACTCATTGCAACACATCACTACCATGTATAACTCCGCCCTCTAGCTAAGTCTGCGTTCATATCAGTGCGCGGGACTATATACTACGCTAAAACATTGTTATGGGAGGTTACAAAAAAAAAAAAAAGGCGGGCTTGATGCGGGTTTCGGGCTTGAAAATTGAGAAACCATATCGGGCCGGGCCGGGCTGGGGCGCCACCCCCTCGGGCCAGGGCCGGGCTCAGGCCCAGATAATAGGCCCGTGCAGGGCTCTAGTCCAGGTGCTGTAGGATGTGGTGGAGGGCCAGGTTAATGGCGTCGCCTACAGATCTGTTGGCTCTGTAGGCGAACTGCAGGGGGTCCAGGAGGGGGGAGGTGAAGGACTTGAGATGGGAGAGGACCAGGCGTTCAAATGACGATGTGAGCGTACGATACACACAGAATTTACACCAGGTCATGAGGGGGGTAAATGTGTACCCTTCGTCACAACACGACAAAACACGCATGAAGTTCAAGATTTGGACGACAATAAACTTGTTCCCACTCTGGAAAAATTATAAGCTGTGTTTTCATGGAGCGTCATGTTTCTAAATTTTGAATAAATCACCCTCTTCTGTTTCTTCGTTTTTAAATCTGACTTGTGTATTATTTTCATCTGGATGTTTTTGTATTTTTAATGTGAAGCGCTCTGTGATCCTGCTCTGTGATCCAGCTCTGTGATCCAGCTCTGTGATCCTGCTCTGTGATCCTGCTCTGTGATCCTGCTCTGTGATCCAGCTCTGTGATCCTGCTCTGTGATCCTGCTCTGTGATCCTGCTCTGTGATCCAGCTCTGTGATCCAGCTCTGTGATCCTGCTCTGTGATCCTGCTCTGTGATCCTGCTCTGTGATCCAGCTCTGTGATCCTGCTCTGTGATCCAGCTCTGTGATCCTGCTCTGTGATCCAGCTCTGTGATCCAGCTCTGTGATCCAGCTCTGTGATCCTGCTCTGTGATCCAGCTCTGTGATCCTGCTCTGTGATCCAGCTCTGTGATCCTGCTCTGTGATCCTGCTCTGTGATCCTGCTCTGTGATCCTGCTCTGTGATCCTGCTCTGTGATCCTGCTCTGTGATCCTGCTCTGTGATCCAGCTCTGTGATCCTGCTCTGTGATCCTGCTCTGTGATCCTGCTCTGTGATCCAGCTCTGTGATCCAGCTCTGTGATCCAGCTCTGTGATCCTGCTCTGTGATCCAGCTCTGTGATCATGCTTTGTGATCCTGCTCTGTGATCCAGCTTTGTGATCCAGCTCTGTGATCCTGCTCTGTGATCCTGCTCTGTGATCCAGCTCTGTGATCCTGCTCTGTGATCCTGCTCTGTGATCCAGCTCTGTGATCCTGCTCTGTGATCCAGCTCTGTGATCCTGCTCTGTGATCCTGCTCTGTGATCCAGCTCTGTGATCCTGCTCTGTGATCCAGCTCTGTGATCCTGCTCTGTGATCCTGCTCTGTGATCCAACTCTGTGATCCTGCTCTGTGATCCAACTCTGTGATCCTGCTCTGTGATCCTGCTCTGTGATCCAGCTCTGTGATCCTGCTCTGTGATCCAGCTCTGTGATCCTGCTCTGTGATCCTGCTCTGTGATCCAACTCTGTGATCCTGCTCTGTGATCCAGCTCTGTGATCCTGCTCTGTGATCCAGCTCTGTGATCCTGCTCTGTGATCCTGCTCTGTGATCCTGCTCTGTGATCCTGCTCTGTGATCCCTCTGTGATCCTGCTCTGTGATCCAGCTCTGTGATCCTGCTCTGTGATCCTGCTCTGTGATCCAGCTCTGTGATCCAGCTCTGTGATCCTGCTCTGTGATCCTGCTCTGTGATCCTGCTCTGTGATCCCTCTGTGATCCTGCTCTGTGATCCAGCTCTGTGATCCTGCTCTGTGATCCTGCTCTGTGATCCCTCTGTGATCCTGCTCTGTGATCCAGCTCTGTGATCCTGCTCTGTGATCCTGCTCTGTGATCCAGCTCTGTGATCCAGCTCTGTGATCCAGCTCTGTGATCCTGCTCTGTGATCCTGCTCTGTGATCCTGCTCTGGATTCACCTCTGGCAAAGCAACGTATTTCCTCAGTAGTTTTGTTATATACAATAGATGGTTTTCCACTTACGTCACGCACTACCCACAATTCCGCAGTTCGCCATTTTGGGAGGCTAGCCGCCGCTAGTTGTAGCTAACCAAATCGGGCCAAATCACTTTTTGCGCTAAAGCATGCCGACTGCCTGCATCATTTGGGGGTGCAGTTAATCGCGTAGAATGTGGGGGCATTTCGAAGGCTATTCCGAGCCAGGGGACTGACTTGGGACGGAGATATGACTCCATCTAAATGAATGAGAGGAGGAGATGGTGGTAGACAGAAGTGATTTGCGGCCTGTGATATCAACTGCTTCGTTCAAATATATTGATTGAAAGAAATATTGCATCATATACATCATGACATTATTTTAATTGTAAAACTGTTAAGTGAAAGTAAGCCATTTCTGGGAAGTCCACTGGTCTCGCAACGTTTCATACGGATCCAAATCTCCCGATTCTCAAAGGATCTTTCCTCACAGATTACTCCAGTGTTATCAATATACTTAACGCGGTCAGTGTCGGCCAAATTCGTGGCTCTAGATGACATGGGGACAGATAATCCGTGAGAAATGATCAGTGACAAATGATACGTGCAATATAAGCTTGACTCACAAAATGCCGTTCACGCAAAGCATCATGGGTAATAAGCACGTGATGGAAAACTATGTATATATGTATGGCCCAGTGTGGGCGGGTCCCGGCTCAAAAGTGGCCAAAATCATGTGCGCTGACATGCTGCAATACCACCCCGGGCCTGTGGGGGTGGACCCAGAAGTAGAATTAGCCAATGCTAACATATAGCATTGGCAGACCTCTCAAAAACGTCTTTAGAGGATGGACCAAAAGTTGGCTCTTGGCCCAAAGCTCCGTTCCACATGTGTGTCAATGCTGAGGGGGGTGGATTTTTTTGGTCCACTCTAGTTTACTTGCGGTGAATTTTTGAAGTCTCTCGTTCAAATGAACGGAGCTGCGCCGGCTGACGCATGCGCAGATGCGTTTAACTTTTTTCACAATTTTCTTGTGGGTGGGACCACTTTTTTTTGGCCCATTAGTTAGAACGGCGGAGATAGGCGTGACTCTGTCCGTTAATATCAGATTCAGATTCATTTATTTGCCATTTGCAGTAAAACCACATAGGAAAAACTGTGCAAGACTACCCCAGTGTGCACCAGACAACACACACGAGAAGCTCTTGCCACGGCGCCATCTTTACGGCGCCATGCGACAAACAGTAGAATAAACAGCAGAGAGCAATAACACACAGTTTCACAGACAATTGGATAGACACATTTGTGCTTTGTATAAACCACGGATTTTTTTCTCGGGATGAGCACCTCCGACTGCCGGCCCAATGTGGCTGTCAGAGGGGGGCGGGGTCAGGGAGGGGGTGAGTCGGAAACACAATGAGGAGTGGAGGGGAGGGAGGGAGCAAGATGGATAGGTTAAGGGAGGCGGGGGGAGCGGGATCCGAGCTGGAGACTGAATAGTGTGAATTGTTGTAGATTGGGGGACCTTGTTATTATGGCCTTGGCCGAGGAATGTGAGATAAGAGTGGAGAGAAGACACAGCAGGAGAAAACACATCGCCTGAGAGGGACAATATTATATGCAATGTAGCAGTCAAAAGCAGGCAGATATTCTATTAAATCCAATTAAACCGAATTGCGGCGCCCTCAGACCTCCGTACACAGGGGCAAATCCATCCGTCAGAACGTCAGAGAGTTCAAGCCTGACGCACGATGTCATTCAATCTCATCTCCAATGTTTTAATGTTTTATTCCCTTCGAGTGAACGAGCTGCGAGGTCTTTTATCTACTGTTCCACCAACACCACTCTCCTTTGTCCAGACACGGCGCTCTCAACCACGACGCGGCTAAGCTCCTTGTACATCCCATCAATTTTGTTGGCCAGCAGCTCGTGAATCTTGCGAACTGCCATGCCTCCGAATTTGCGATAGAAGAGGACCGCTCCAAACCCAAACAGGAGGATCCCCACCACCAAAATGCCAAAGATATATACGTCTTCCGAATCTTCAATAGACAGGGTCGACAGACAGAGGGGCTGAAACTTGTTCCAGCTGTCAAGAGTATACCCCGCAGGTGAAGTCCCGTCCGGGCACACGGGCTCTCCAGACCCTCACTTATGTGTTGAAATATATACAGTCTATGGTATATACGTATATATAATTTAGCAGGGTTTTTTTTCTTTTGACAAAATAATAAAATAAAACTCAATATAAACTCAGTGCGTGTCACTAACAGACTCGCTGGCCGGCTTCCAGGCTGAGCTCTAGTAAAAACAGGACATTTTCGGAATATTTTCATAAATTCGCTTGTTTTCACCGCAGCATATATCAACAGCTGCGTCCGCTCAGATCTGTGCAGATCTCACACGATCATAAATCCTGCGTTGAGTCTGCCGTAAATGGAATATACACCAAAAATATACATCCTTTTTTTTCTTTTCTTTTTTTTTACTGATTTTTGATCTCCGTGTGTGGGGTCTCTCAGGTTAGGGAAATCGGCCGACAATTTTAAAATCGCCTCGTGTGAAGCAGGCTTTACAGAGCACAAAGGGCATTTCAATCCCAGTTTATGTTTGGAAGTAATCTCCAAAAAGAGCTGCAAAAAAGTTTAAAAATGGCTAAAATTTGGCAAAATGTGTCTTAATCTGAGCACATTCTGACTGAGCCTTAAAAGTAGATTTGACGATGGGACAAAGCAAAATAATCTTGTTTTAAAAAGATACAGAAATGTCTCCTTTGGAATGAGAAAATAAAGCCACAGTTCTGAGACTGAGTGGTTTTGACCCATCGGTAAATCTGGTTTTAACACGGTCAGAATGAGGCCTTTAGTAAGTAAGTAAGTAAGCTTTATTTATATACCTTATTGGCTTTACCAAACGGTTGAGACGCATCCGATAGAGATTCAGCAGTGAGAGAGAATTCAGACTTCCAAGCTTTAGGTCAAAACAGCTGGGTTTTAGCTCATATTTTATCATTCTTTCAGTGGTGCTCTCTGGTCTCTTTCTTCTGTTTCTCTGGTCTCTCTCTGGTCTCTCTCTGGTCTCTCTCTGGTCTCTCTCTCTGGTCTCTCTCTCTGGTCTCTCTCTGGTCTCTCTCTCTGGTCTCTCTCTGGTCTCTCTCTGGTCTCTCTCTCTGGTCTCTCTCTGGTCTCTCTCTGGTCTCTCTCTCTGGTCTCTCTCTGGTCTCTCTCTCTGGTTTCTCTCTCTGGTCTCTCTCTCTCTGGTCTCTCTCTGGTCTCTCTCTCTGGTTTCTCTCTCTGGTCTCTCCCTCTGGTCTCTCTCTCTGGTCTCTCTCTGTGGTCTCTCTCTGGTCTCTCTCTGGTCTCTCTCTCTGGTTTCTCTCTCTGGTTTCTCTCTCTGGTCTCTCCCTCTGGTCTCTCTCTCTGGTCTCTCTCTGGTCTCTCTCTCTGGTCTCTCTCTCTGGTCTCTCTCTCTGGTCTCTCTCTCTGGTCTCTCTCTCTGGTCTCTCCCTCTGGTCTCTCTCTCAGATGTCATGCAGGGGCTAAGTACACACTGGCACTGGTTAACAGTTGCTGATTATTCCCTGATGGTTTCGGTCTTGCGTGACATCCCGGCTGCAGGACTAGGGATGATGCAACGGGACTTTCTGATCCTCTTACTCTCTCGCAGCCCCTCCCTCTGCCCTCACCGCTGCCCAGCTGTAATCTCAGGCCATAATCTGTGACCATCCCCAGTCTGGGCCAAAGATGCCAAAGTGAGCCAATTTACAGCTGTTTCCTCAGTCTGACGTCTCTCTCTGGTCTTTCCTATGTCTCTCTGGTCTCTCTCTGGTCTCTCTCTGGTCTCTCTCTAGTCTCTCTCTGGTCTCTCTCTGGTCTCTCTCTGGTCTCTCTCTGGTCTCTCTCTGGTTTCTCACACTGGTCTCAGGGTGCTTTCACACCCGTTGGTCCAGTAAAGTGGTTCGCTTGGGCCCTAAAATTGGTACAATGTTGCAGTTCTCAACTAGTTCGGTTCTCATTCACACCAGTGTTTTTGCAAATGAACCAACCACTGTGGATGTTACATATTCTGCCCATGTGGTGGCGCTGTTTACAAAATACTGTGTATTGGATGATATATGTGAAACCTGATTGGCGCAGGATGTGAAGAGGGAAAAATCCCAGAAGCAAACAAACTTGTCAGATCCTTAACGATGAACTGTGCTGCTCTAGTGTGTGGACATTGTTGCTTTGTGCAGCACAAATACTGCAGTTGTTCCAGTTTGTATCACGGATTCAGCACCAGAACACTCTGCGGCTGTTTTTGACTATTCTATCACATAAAAAAACACAATGTGCAGGGCCATAGCGAGGCCGGTCAGAGTTCTCACCAGCAGCGAACCAGACTGGAGTTCACATGGAAGCGCACCAAGACCAGCTCCATAAGGTGGTCTCGGTGCGGTTCTTTTGTCCGGACCAAATTTAACTGGTCCACTTTCACACCTGCTCAAATGAACCGTACTTGCAGGTGATCCAGACTCCAGTCCGTTTTAAGTGGACTAAATGGTGCAGGTTTGAAAGCACCCTCACTCCCTAGTCTCTCTCTGGTCTCTCTCTGTTCTCTCTCTGGTCTCTCTTTGTTCTCTCTCTGGTCTCTCTCTCTGGTCTCTCTCTGGTCTCTCTCTGGTCTCTCTCTGTTCTCTCTCTGGTCTCTCTTTGTTCTCTCTCTGGTCTCTCTCTGGTCTCTCTCTGGTCTCTTTCTGGTCCCTCTCTGGTCTCTCTCTGGTCTCTCCGGTGTCTCTCTCTGGTCTCTTTCTGGTCTCTCTCTGGTCCCTCTCTGGTCTCTCTAGTCTCTCTGGTGTCTCTCTCTGGTCTCTCTCTGGTCTCTCTCTCAGGTGTAGGGAAGACACAAACAATAAGACAGCAGGTGAATAGCAATGAACAGACTACAGCATACGTCATGATGATGATAAACTAGAACGGACCCCAGAACTAAGCCAGGGCTGAACCAGGACTAAACCAGGACTGAGCCAGGACTGAACCAAGACTAAACCAGGACTGAGCCAGGACCAAGCCAGGACCGAACCAGGACTGAGCCAGGACTGAAAAGCAACTAGACCATGTGGCGCTAAGATTAGCTCTGGTCTTGTTACAGAAGTGTAATCGAGTCCCAAACAGACGCCTGGTGCTCTGTGGATAACCCAGGATTACGTCCCAAATCCTGTGGAATTTTGGGACATTTGTGAAATGAGAGGATGAAGATTACAGCTTCTTTTAAAGAAGCAGTGGAAAGACCTGCAGTGGAACAGCACAGACCAGCGGTGGAAACAGGAAGTGTGTAAGAGCGTACCAGAGACATTCAGATACTGGTGTGGACTTTATCTTGGCTCATAATGAATCGCAGTTTTGTGTTGACAAACCTGGAGGTTACGTACTTTTTATTCTTGTCACGAAAATTCATAGTTGTAAAAATAGCACGTTTTTCTCTCAATTCATTCAAACATTTATATATATAACTTCCTTCAGCTAAACGCAGACAAAACTGAAATGATTGTCTTTGGTCCCCAGAAACAAAGAGAGAGCGTCATCTGTCACCTCCAGTCTCTCTCCCTAAAACCTTCAAACAAGGTCAGAAATCTAGGGGTAATACTGGACTCAGACTTAAATTTTAATAGCCACATCAAATCAGTAACATCAGCAGCTTTTTACCATCTAAAAAACATTGCCAGGATCAAAAACATAGTGTCTAAAGCAGACTTGGAGATTCTTATCCATGCATTTGTCTCCAGTAGGTTAGACTACTGCAATGGCCTGCTCACAGGTCTGTCCAAACAGGCTGTAAAACAGCTGCAGTACATTCAAAATGCAGCAGCTCGAGTCCTGACTAGAACCAGGAAGTACGACCATATTAGTCCTGACTAGAACCAGGAAGTACGACCATATTAGTCCTGACTAGAACCAGGAAGTACGACCACATTAGTCCTGACTAGAACCAGGAAGTACGACCACATTAGTCCTGACTAGAACCAGGAAGTACGACCACATTAGTCCTGACTAGAACCAGGAAGTACGACCACATTAGTCCTGACTAGAACCAGGAAGTACGACCACATTAGTCCTGACTAGAACCAGGAAGTACGACCACATTAGTCCTGACTAGAACCAGGAAGTACGACCACATTAGTCCCGACTAGAACCAGGAAGTACGACCATATTAGTCCTGACTAGAACCAGGAAGTACGACCACATTAGTCCTGACTAGAACCAGGAAGTACGACCATATTAGTCCTGACTAGAACCCACAGAGCCCAGCACCCGCAGACTGGACACATCAAACCTGGTTTATTTTAAAACCTGGAAATATTCATTTTAAAGATAAGATTATTCCTCCTTCCAGTCACCTGGACGACATACAGACGCCATGTCACACATATGAAAAAATGTCTAATAACCAAAGAATTTCATAGAAATTATTTATTGAACTAATGGCCACAAGTCTATTCTGTACTTCTGTGTTTCTCCAATAGGACATTTACGTTCAGAAAAGTATGTCTGTTTGTATTAGAGTTCTAGTCGCCATGGCGATAGTCTATCCACAAAAACAGAACATTATCAAGTTCTAGAACCCCTTTGGAATGCCAGTCCTTTAAATGGTTTCCATGGAAACCTTTGTGACATAATGTTCTATTGATGATATCACTCCCCAGTATAGTCTTGAGGGGACAGAGACGTGGGGCTTCACAGACAGGCTTGGGTCTACAGACAGCCGTTTATTTTTACAGATTGATACATAGTGTAGAATATATTTCACTGAGGTTTCAGATCTAGATACTCGAGTATGCTTCGCAGAAGCCAGCGGCTCATTGAGCAGGGCTACTACGGCCCGGACGGGAAGCCTGTGATCTCATATAAGGAAAACATCTGTCCTGTTTTCAAGAGAAGGAAACACAGACCTTCTTTTTTCTCTGGCGTCGTGAGCGCTCCTCCTGATCCTTTGGCACAAGAGCCAGAGACATCTGTCCATCGTGTTCCATCCGCTTCATCCGTGGCCGAGCAGCAGCAGCAGCCAACAATGTGGTCTCTGTTTATCCCCTGGCGCGTCGTGCTTCTCATGGTGCTTTGTTTGAGTTTGACCATGACGTGTCACAGATCCACGAAGTCCATGGCAAGTTCACAAACTGTAGAGGCTGATCTCCAGGCACAAGTCAGTTGTTTGAAACATCAGTTGGAAAACATAAAACGTTTATTTCTTCCTCCGGCAAACTCACTCAGAAACTTTGCACTGGAAAGTTTGGGGGCGCACGTGGTTTTAAGCAGAACTTCGAGAATCGAAACGTGTTGCTCAGAGTTTGAGAAGATGTACAGGTCTCCGAGCGGCGTCCTGCGAGCGCAGCACTACCCTCTGACCCCAGGCCAGTACTGGAGGATGGAGGGGTCGTCAATGCAGTTGTTCATCGCCATGGCAACACACATCCACATCTCACACGTCACGATCGGACACATCACCGCAGAACAGTCTCCCAACGGCAACATCTCCTCCGCACCAAAAGAGTTCAGCGTTTATGGACTGAAGCGGTTTAAGGGAGAAGAGACGCTGCTGGGGAAGTTTGAGTTCCAGGATAATGGAGAGTCCTTTCAGACCTTTGAGGTCCACGAACACATGGACACAGTTTTTAAGTTTGTTCGTCTTCAGGTGGAAAACAACCACGGCAGCGATTACACATGTCTTTACAACTTCAGGGTTCACGGAAATCTTCCAACCAACCCTCCTCCTCTTTTCTAAATGCCTTTAAGCCTGAAGGTTGTGGGTTTGAGCCCAACACGAGACCTTCTCCACTGATGCCTGCTGCGTTTTTAATTGTGGAAAACGCTCAGGGTTGAACTAACATAATAGCTTTCACTAACGCTAAATAAACTGAGGAGCGAGCGATATTTACTAACGGGACTTAGTACTAAAGCACCTACAGCTTCAGCACAGGCCGCGCTGTTTAGCTGAGAAGGAGAGGTTAAGTGGGAAAAAACCACTTGTTTTTCCATTAGGAGGAGCCATCGTAGATGGGGCGAGGCTGTAGCCCCGCCCTATTTAACCCTTCAGAATCTACACCATCACATGTGATACTAGGACACTTTAGGAAATGGGCGGAGTCTTCTCTGCTTCTATTGGTTCTGATAGAAAAGCTGCAGCCACAGCTGCCCTTTCTGGACCGGTTTGGACTCCGGCTTCATATGTGATGCTGTAGACTCTGAGGGGGTGGCGCCTCATAATGGACAAAAACATTTGCTTGACAAAGGCCCACGGCCAAAACATCACATCTGTAATTAAAAAAACTCTACTTGTTTTTCTTCCTTTTCAGTGTTCCATACACTGCCATCTAACATGGCGGCGTAGTGACAATTGCTATGTAGGGCACGTGTAGGTTCAAAACCTCTATTATTGTTGATTTCAGAAATCTGCAAAAAATGATGAAAACGGTGAATACAGCGACCACCGCTCCTGACCTAAGCCCTAGCGGCATCGGGATGGGTCAAATGCAGAGGATGAATTGCCCTACGGGGATTAATAATGTGTACCTTTTCCTTTGAACCGAGCTCTGAGATTAATTAATGACTCTTCTGGCCCCTGGAAAAGCCTGTTCCAGCTTCTTCCCTCTGGCAGAAGATATTGTTGGCTGAGATGCAGGACAACTGGATATGCTAACATGCTAACAACTTCTTTTCACAAGCTGTTATCAGTTTAAACGAATCACTTATATGATCTTGCACTTATTGAAACTGTTTTAGATCTGTTTCATGCACTTTTTTAGTTAGTACAATGTCTGTACTTTTAACCTTGTTTATTTACGTACTTGTCTGTTGCACACCGGGGACTTAAGCAAATGTATTCCTATGTGGTTTTACTGCAAATGGCAAATAAAAGAATCTGAATCCGAGTTCTCTGAGTCTGAGTTTCAAATGAACCTAGTCTTATTCCGTCTTTCAGGAAGTTTGAAACAGTTTGAACACATTCATGGTTTTGTGGAGCAGCGTTCTTACTTCTGCAGTGGCTCTCGTCCGTACTTCATCAACAGGCGGATGGCAGTGGGAGCCGTGTAAAACTTGGTCACTTTATATTTTTGGATGATCTCCCAAAATCGTCCGACGTGAGGATGAGTCGGGATGCCTTCAAACTGAAAGACAAGGAACGATTCGAGAAAGAAGAAATTAAATCGAAAGTAAATAACCAGAGCAACGACCACAAAGATTTGATGTTGTATCTTTTACTGAACGGAGTTAGCCTGGTCTTACCATACCATTGTACTCATTTCATTTCATTTGCTCCATTGAGCTCCGTTAACCCCTCCCACGTGTTTACTCCTTTAGCAGATTGAAACGATTGGATCCGAGTTTACCGTGACGTATGAGTCGCTAACATTTAGCATTTAGTCTAGCTGTTTTATTTAGCCATCTCCTTTGCCACTAACGGAGCCCGTGGGAAGTTGAGCCACATCTTTTCCAGCAATTAAAATAGCTAAACATTCCTCTTGCTCCGTCTTTAATTTCTTGATATTTGGATTGAATCAGAACAGATTATTTTACGATAGCGTTCTCCACCATTGCCAAACTTGCCCTAACCCAAAAGAAATACATAGTTACAATTACGTCTAATGACTATGATCTAATTACATTGTCAACCAACTGATATTTTACATATTTAACAAACTTTACACACACTGACACACAATGACACACAATGACACACACTGACACACGCTGACACACTCTGACACACTCTGACACACGCCAACACACGCTGACACACGCTGACACACAATGACACACTCTGACACACGCTGACACACTCTGACACACGCTGACACACAATGACACACACTGACACGCAATGACACACACTGATACACAATGACACACATTGACACGCAATGACACACACTGACACGCAATGACACACATTGACACGCAATGACACACACTGACACGCAATGACACACACTGACACACACACACACACCCACACACACACACTCACACACACACACTCACACACACACTGATTGTTATGAATAGAATGTGTATTATAATTAACAATGATTACTTAGTTTTCATAGTAGTACATATCATTAAATATATTTTAGGTACATATGCTCAATAACACTGGCATGGGTTCTGGAGGTGTTGGACCAGAGCCTTTTTAAACAGAGGCAGTTTTCCAACTTCTTTCTTGACTCTTGGGACTACAAAGAAACATTGGTTTGAGTGGCGCAAACTGTAAGAGGGTCGCAGAGGAATCAAATATTGTTTTAAATAGTCCGGAAAAGTTAAACTGATACATTTCTAAATAAAGAGCAGCCAATGAAGCTGACGTCTGGAGGACAGAGAGAGCCACGATAACTGCTCGTACAGAGGACAGTGGTGGGTCCTAAAGGGACAGCGGAGAATGAACCCACACAGGCTGTTGTATGTGACATTCAGAGGCTGGAGGATGGAGGCAGAAGTGTTTTGATAAATGATGTCACTGTAATCAAGAATGGGAAGGATCAACTGTGAAATAATTCTTTTCCTAACTGAAAAACTGAAGCAATTAACTGATTGATAAAGAAGTTTTAGACGTTTAGTGTGTGGGTAATGAGGGGGATGTGGGGGGGTAGTGTAATGATTTAGATGGGGTAAGGAAGTGAAAATGAGGGGAAGGGATGGTGGGAGGTTGGGAGATTTGTTTGAGAGAGAGATTTTTTTTTGTGGTGGGTGTTTTGTTTGGGGGTTGGTGGTTGAGTTGTGTTGTGGTAGGTTTGTATTGTGGAGGTGTATGAGAATATGTGGAGGTGTAAATATTAATATAGGTATTATGAAAGGTGTATGGGAATATGGGGGGGGAGGGTTGGGGGTTTATTGTGGGTGATGGGGAAATGTTTTTTAATTTAACTGAGTGATTTTGGGGGGGATTAGGGGATATATGAGACATTTGTGTGAGTTGAAGGGTATAGAGGGGTGTAGGGGAGAGAGAGATGGAGGGAGGGTTAGGGAGAGGTGGAAGTAATTGGTGGGTAGGGGTAGAGGAAAAGGTGGGTAATGGGGGGGGGGGGTTAGGGGATGGGGGGGGGGTGAAGTGAAGAGGGATTGGAAGATGTGGGGGTTGAGGGAAGGGTGGTGTTGTAGGTGGGTGTATTGTTGGTTGGGTGGTTGTGGAGGGAAAAGAGAGGAGGGAGGAATGTATGATTTTTTTGGGTGGGTTTAGGGTGATTTTATAAATGGAGGGGAGGTGGTGGGTGGGAGGTATTGAAAGTGGGGTGTGGTAGGGGTTGGATGTTGTTTTTGGAATGTGGGGGGTGGGGGGAGAGTAGGTAATTATGGTGGGGAGAAGTAGAGTAGGTGATGTTGTTGAGTGTGAGAGGGAGTGAGTGTGTGTTTAGGTTTTAGGTGAGGGAGGTGTGGGTTTTGAGGGGGTTTTGGGTTGGAAATAGGAATTGGGTAGTGATGTGATGAGTTTGTGATTAGTGAGGTTGGTTATGGGGTTGTGTGGGTGTGGGGGGGGGTGGTGGTGAGGGTGGGTTTGTTGGAGGGGGGGGATGAAGTTTTTTGTTGTGGATTGAGGTAGATGTAAGATTGTAAGATTGGGATGTGAGAAGGGGGGATTTGGGTTTGGGTTAGGGGAAGAGGGGAGAATGTGGAGGTAGTAGGTAAGGAAATAAGGGTAGTTTAAGGAGGGATTGTAAAGGGGGAGGGGGTGTTGGGTGGATAATTTTAAGTTTGATGTATTGGGAGGGGTTTGTTGGTGATGGTGGTGTTGTTGATTTTTTTTATTTTATGATTTAGGTGTTGATTTGGTGGGGGGTGGTGTGGTTGATTGGTTGGTGGGTAGGGGATTTGGTAGGGGGGGTGGGGGGGGGTGGGGGGTGGGGTTGGGTTTGGGTGGGGGTGTGGTGTTTGGTTTATGTAGGGGATTTTTGATGTTGGGGGATAGGGTGGGTATTAGGGGGGGGGTGTGTAGTGGGGTGGGGGGGGGGGGTGGTTTGTTGGGGATTTTGTTGGAGGGGGGTAATTGGTGGGGGGGGTGGTGTGGGATGTGATGTGTGGGGGGTGGTGAGGTAGTGGGGTTGTGGGTAGATGTTGGGGGTGATTTAATTTGGTGGGGATTTATTAGGTTTGGGTGTTGTGAGTTGGTGATAAGAAGTATAGGTGGGGATGGGGGGGGGTTGGGGGGGGGGGGGTTGGTAGGTGGAGAGGGTGGTGGGGTTGGGGTGTGTGGGGGTGGGTGGGGGGGGGGGGGGGGTGGGTGTGGGTGTTGTGTGGGGGGTGGGGGTTTGGTGGTTGTTGTGTGGGGGGGGGGGGGGGTGGGTTGGGGGGGGGTGGGTGGGGTGGTGGGGGTGTGGGTGGGGGGGGGGGTTGTGTTATGGTGTTGGGTGTGGGGGGGTGGGGTGGGGGTGGGTTGGGGGGGGTTTTTGGTGTTGAGGGGTTGGGGGGGGTGGATTGGTGTGGTGGGTGATGTATGGGTTGGGGAAAGGGGGGGTGGGTGGTTTGTGTTGTTGTGGGTGGTGGGGGGGGGTTGGGTTGGGGAGGTTGGTTGGGTGTGGGGGTTGGGGGGGGTGTGGTTGGGGGGTTGGGGGGGTGGTTTGGGTGTGGTGGTTGTGGGGTGGTGTGTGGTGGGGGGGGGGGGGGGGTTGTGTGTTGGGGTGTGGGTGGGGATGGGGGTGTTGTGGGAGTAGGGGGTTTGTGTGGTAGGGGGGGGGTAGGAGTTGTTGGATGGTTGGTTTGGTTGGTGTGATTGGGGGGGTTTTTTGGTTGGGATGTAATGGGAAGGGGGGGTTTATTAAGGATATTGAGGGTTTGGTTGGAGTATTGTTAGTATATGATTGAGTTGGAGTGGGTTGTGTTGTTTGGTTGGGTAGGGTATAATTAAGGGAGATGATAGATATTGGTGAAATAATTTGTTGAAAGATGGTGTTAATGAAAGAGAAGGTGGTGGAGGAGTTGAGGATATTTGGGGATATGGTGGGATAATATTATGTTTGTATGGTGGGGGTAGGGTGGTGGTAGGGGGGGGTTTTTTGGGGGTGGGTGTGTAGATTTTGAAAAAAGGATTTGATGTTGGTGGGGGTATATGGGGATTGAGGATGAGGGGTTGAAGGAGGAGAGGGGGGGGTTGTTATGATGTGGTATTATGTTGGGATGGGGGTTTGGATATTATTGGGTGGTTGGGAGGGGGGGGTGTGTGGTGTGTGGGGGGTTGTTTTTTTGGGGTGTTTGGGTGAATATTGAAATAGGGGTAAGGGGGAGGGGGGTTTATTTTGATGGGTGTGGGGTAATGTGGGGGGATTGAATTGGGGGGGGGTGTGTGTGGGTTGATTAGGTGTATGAGTATGTGATGGTTTTATTGGTGGGGTGTAATTTTTGAGTGGGGTTGTATGTGTGTGTATGTATTATGTCTGAGTGTATGTATTTGATGTATGTTATTTATTATGTTTTTGTATGTGTATGTGTATGTGTATAGGTGTGTATGTGTATGTATTATTATTTATTGTATGTATTTGTGGTGGAAGTTTAGGGTTAATGTGTATTTATTTGATGTATGTATTAGTGTAGTTAAATGTATGGAGGGTGTATGTGTTAGTATTGTTTGGATGGTAGGGGAGAATGGTTTTTATGTGGATGTTTGTTTGTTATGTGTATTATTTATGTATGTATGTTTATGTATTTTGGGTTGTATGTAATTATGTATTTGGATGTATTATTTTATTATGTGGTGGTATGTATTAATGTATTTGGAATGTATTATTTTATTATATGTGTATGTATTGGATGTATGTATTTTATTATATTTATGAGGTTATGGGTTATTTATTGGTTGGTTGTATGGAGGTTCGGGGGTTGGGGTGTTTGTGGTTATTTTAATTAGTAAATAAAGGGTTTGGGTTTATGTATGGAGGATGGAGGGTGGGTGGGAAGTTATTATGATATGAGTTGATTATGTATATTGTATTGAAATTTGTTTTTTTTTGATAAGGTAAATAAAATAAGAAGAGGTAGAGTGGTATATGGGTAGGAAGAAGGGGAGGTAAAGGGAGGTGATAGTTAGGAAGAAAGAAGGTAAGTGTATATGGTAGGAAGAAGAGGGGTAGAGTGGTATATGGGTAGGAAAAGATTAGAGGGTTGATATGTAAGAAGTGAAGGAGGGTAGAGGTGGTGATATGGGTATGGAGAAAGGGTAGGAAGAAGTTTGATGGGATGTGGATGAGGTGTTTTGTGATAGTATTGGGTTGGGGGAAGTTGTGGGTAAGTGGAGGGATTGGGTGGTGAAGAAAGGTGTGGGGGTGTGGTTATGTGATTATATTTGTTAAGTATTGATGGATGCAGAATGGTAATGTGGGTAAATGTGAAGGTAATATGTAGTATAAGATAGGGAAGGGGTGTGGTGGTGGGAAGGTGTGGATATATGTGTTATGTGGTGATATTTTTGATAATTTTGGAGATATATAATTATTTTTTAATTATAATATTGGGGAGAGGGTGTTGGGATTGGTAATATATGTGGGGAAGTAGGGTAGTGGTTGGTTTGGAATATATTGGGGAGTAGGGAGTTGTTGGTTTGGAATATATTGGGGGGAGTAGGTGGTGGTTGGTTTTTGGAATATATGTGGGGGATTAGGATGGTGGTTTGTTTGGTAATATATTGGGGAGTAGGGAAGGTGTTGTTTTAATATATGTGGGGGGGGAGTAGGAGGTGTTGTTTGTAATATATGGGGAGTAGGAGGTGTTTTTTTTGAATATATTGTGAGTAGGAGTGTTGGGTTTGGAATATATTGGGAGTAAGGATTGTTGGTTTGGAATATATTGGGAGTAGAGTGGTTTTTGAAATATGTGGGGGAGTAGGAGGGTGTTGGTTTGTAATCGATGTGGGGAGTAGATGTTGTTTGTTAATTTATTGGGAGTAGGGAGTGGTTTGGGTTGAATATATGTGGGGGGAGTAGGGAGGAGGTTGTTTTGGGAATATGATGTGGGAGTAGGGGATTAATTATAATAGTTTGGTAGAGAATGGGGGTGTTGTGATGTTGTTGATGGGGGGGGGATTTGGGATTGAGAAAGGGTTAGGTGTTTGGGGGGGAAGAGTAGAGTAAGTAGAGTAGAGTAGAAAGTAGAGTAAGTAGAGTAGAGTAGAGTAAGTATAGTAGATAGATTAATATTTGGGTTAGGGGATAATGAAGGGGTTTTAATGTAAATGGAAGGAGGGTAAATAGGGGAGAGGGGGAGTGAATTTTGTATGTGTTGGTTTTAGTGGGGTGTTTGTAATTTAGCGTTAATGTGGGGGAGGTTATATGGGTGGTTTGTTGGAGTTTTTGGAGAATTTGAGTTTTGGTGAGTTGGGGGTAAGGGTTTATTTGGAGATTGGGGTATTTATTTTGGTGAGGGGGGGATTTTGTGTATTTTGGGAGAAGGGGGTTGGTGGTTTTTTTTGATTATGGGAGGGTTTTGTTGTAGTGTGGTATGGTGAATTTGGTGTTATTGGGGGTTGATGATTTTGGGATATTTTGTTGTGTTTTTGGAAGGTGGTAGATGTGGGGGGGTGGGGGAGAGTAGGAGGGTTGAAATAGAAATAATAGTGGGGTGGTGTAAGAGGAGTAAATATAGGGGGGAAAGGGTATAGGTGGTTGAGAGATTTTTTTTAATGATAGTGATTTGGGTGGGGGGAGAAGAGGATATAAAGGGAAAGGGGTGATGATGGGTATTGTAATTAGAAATGGGAAAAGAGAGTAGGAAATTTTATGGGTTAGGATGTAATAGTATGAAAATTGGGTGTGTATGGGAAGATAATGTGTATATGGTGTATGGGTGATAATGGTTATAATGTTATAATTTTGGTTGTTTTTGGAGGGTTGGTATGTGGTGTAAGAGGTGTAGAAAGAGGGGGGAAGATGGGGTTGAGAGATTTTTTTGGTTGGAGGGGGGGGGGGGTGGTTGGAAGGGGAAGTGTGGATATTTATTAATTTATTTTATAGGGGTGGGGTATGTTATATGGTTTGTGTGAGGGGTGAGTGAGTGGGAATGATGAGGGGGGTGTGGTTGATGGGGGTTGTTTGTGGGGGTGTTGTGGTGGGTTTGAATTTTGGTTGATGGGGTGATTTGTTAGTGGGGGGGTTGGGAGGGGGGGTGGTTGGGGGGGTATTTTGTGGGGGTGGGGATGGGGGGTGTATGGATGGATATGGGTGAGAGAGATTATTATTATTAGTGTGGGTGGTTTTTTTGTGTTATATGTTGGGAATTAGGGGTTTTTTTGGGATTAAGGGATTATGGGGTGATGTTTATTTTGTAAAAGTGATTATTGTATGGAATTATTAGGAATTGGAATGTGGGTGAATTGTGGAATAGGGGTAGGGTTGGTTTGAGAGAAATTTGTAGGGGTGGTATTTGTGAGTGAGGTTATGTGTTGGGTGAGTAGAAGATTAGGAAGGGGGGTAGGGTTTGGTAAAGTGGGTGGGGGGGGGGGGGGTGAGTTGGGTATTATGTGGAGGTAGATTTATATATTGGTTGGTAGGGGGGGGGGAAGTTGTATAGGAGGATATTATAGATAATTTTAAGTGGTGTTGTGGAAAGGGTTTTGTTGAGAGGATAGGAAGGAAGGGGGGAAGGGGGAATGGAAAGTTAAAGGAGAGAAGGGGAAGAGGGATTAAAGGGATGTATTAAGAGGAAAGGGGAGGTGAAAGTGGTTGGGGAAAGAAAGAAGGGGTTAGTGAAAAAGGATGTGGGAGGGATAGGATGGATGATATGTATGTAGGGGTTAAAATGTGGTATAATAGAGGGGGTTAGAGATTGGGGGGGGAAGTGTGATGAAGGGTTGTTTAGATGGTTGAGAGTAGAAATAGAAAAAAGGGGGGTGGTAGTTTGGAATAGTTGTGTTTTGTTGTATTTGTGTGGGGTTGTTGGAGGGGGGGGTGGGGGGTGTAGGAGTTAGATGTTTTAGTTGGAGATAGTGGTATTTGTTGAGTGTGGTGGGTTTTTAGGGGGAGGGTGGGGGAAGATGGATATGGGAGGGGGGGTGGTGGGTTTGTGTGGGGGAGGGTAAGGGTTGTTGAGGGGTGAGTATTTGGTGTTGGTGGTGTTAGGGGGGGTTGGGTTAGGGGGGGGATGTTAGGGTGTGGTTTGAGGGGAGAGGGGTGGGTGTGTGTGGGGGTGTTGGTGGTGGGGGGGGTGGTGTTTATGGTAGTTTGGTATGGTTGGGGTATATGTGGGTGGGATGAGGGGGGGGGGTGGGTGTGTGGGTGTGGGTGTGTGGTTGGGGTGGGGGGGGTGTGTGGTGATGAAATAGGATGGGGATTAGGGGGTTTTTGGGTTTTGGTTTGGAGTTGTTTTGGAGGAAATTTAGAGTTGGTTGGTTGGGGGGGGGGGTATGTTTTAAAGAGGGGGAAAGGGTAAGGATGAATTATGGTTTTAAAGAGGGGGGAGGGTAAGATGATGTATGTTTTAAAGAGGGGGGGAAGGTAAGGATGAATTATGTGGTAAAGAGGGGATGGGTAAGGATGAATGTAGGGTGGTAATAAGGGATAGGGTATGGATGAAGTTATGTTTTAAAGAGGTATGGGATGGTGGTATGATTGGGGTTTTATAGTGGGGGAAAGGGTAGGTTGTATGTTTGGGTGGAAAAAGGGATAGGTAAGGATGTATTTTGGTTTAATGAGGGGAAGGGTTAGGATAATGTATGTGTTTATAGAGGGGGATAGGGTAAGAGGTATAGTAGGTTTTAAAGTAGGGGATAGGGTTTGGTTGTTGGAGGGGGTTAATGGGAAAGGGTAAGGATGAATTTTGTTTTTATATGAGGTTAGGTAAGTTGTTTGATTTTTTTAGAGGGGGTAAGGGGATAGGAGGAATTTGGTGTTTAATAGGGGGAAGGGTAGGATGAATGTGTTATGGGGGGGGGGGGTGGGGGGAGGGGGGGTTGGGGGGGTGGGGTGGGGGGGAATAATGGGAAGATGGGGGATGATAGTAAAGAAGAAGAATATAGTATGTGGATGGGGTGAGGGAGGGGAAGGGAGAGGAGGATAGAGGGAAGTGGGAGGAAGTGGGTTTGGGTGGGGGGTATATGGATGTTAGATTAGATTTGGAGGTTATTTATTGTATTTTAGGATATATTGGATTTTTTGTATGAATGTTTATATGATGGTTGAGGTTTAGAGGGTGAAGGTGAAATGATGGTGAAGGAAAGGGAGTAGTTGAAATATGGTGAAGGAAAGGGAGAAGATGTGGGGAAATATGTGGAATGGAAAGGGGAGAAGATGTGAAATAGTGAATGAAAGGAGAGATGTGAAAGATGTGAATGGAAAGGGAAAGATGTATTTGAATATGTGGAATTAAAGGGGAGAAGATGTGAAAATGATGGTAAGAAATGGGTTTGAGGGATCAAGTGGTAGGGGAGGAGGGGGAGGGGGTAGAAAGAGGAGGGGGGGGGGGTAGGTAGGTTTGTATGGTTGTTGGGATGGGGAATTAAGGGATGGAATTTGGGGGGGTTACGATGTGTGATGGGGGAGAGATAAATTGAGATATGAGGGAGAGAGAGGAGAGAGATGAGGATAGGGATATGAAGGATAGGGAGGGGGATGGAGGAGGAAGTGGGAAGGGAAGGGGGATGGGAGGGGAGGGAGGAAGGTGGTAGGGAGAGGGAGAGTGGAGGGGAGGGAGGGGAGGAAGGGTAGGAGGGAGGAGATGAGGGGGAGGGATGTAGGAAGGGGAGGAGAGGAAGGAGGTAGATGTGGGGGGAAAGGGAGAATGTTATAGGGGAGAGAAGGAGAGGAGATAGGGAGGGAAAGGAAGAGGAGGGAGAGAAGTGGGAGAGGGAGTAATGGTGATAAGAGGGAAAGGAGAGGGGGGGGGGAGGAGGTGGGAGAGGTTGAGTGATGGGGAGAGGAAGAGAGAGGGGAGGGAGAGAGGAGGAGAGAGGAGAGGGGAGGATGAGAGGGAGGAGAGAGGAGGAGAAGAGGAGATGAGGAAGGATTTGAGTGATGGGTGGAGATATAGAGGGGGTATGTGAGGTGTGGGAAGATGGGTAGGTAGGATAAGTTTTTATATGGGGGGGTTTTTAGAGGGGGTTTATTTATGAGGGTTGATAATTTATAGGGGATTTGGGGTGAGAGGTGTTATGGGTTGTTATGGGGTTTAGATTTTGTTTGTGATTAGAGTATTTAAATAAAGTTGTGATGTTTTTGAAGGAATGGGAAAGGATAGGAATGGGGAGAGAGAGGGGTTATGTTTAATATTTATGGTTATATGAGATGTGTGTTTTTTTAAGGGGATTTAAAATGAGATGATGGGGGAGAGAGTGGAGTGTATTTGTATATATGGGAGGTTGTATTGGTTGGAAGATGTTTGGAAGTTTAGGGGGGGAGGGGGGGGGGAATGAGTAGGTTGGGGATGGAGAGGTTTGAGTTATTGTAAGGGTAGTAGAGTGGGTGGAAGAGGTGTGAAGGAATGGGAGGGAGATGGGGGGGGGAAAGGTGGTTTGGATAGGAGAGATGTTGGGGAGTGTGTGTAGTGGGGTGGGGGGGTTGTGTATAGGGTGTTGGGGGGGGAGGGGGGGGTTATTTTGGGGAATTATATGTAGTAAGAAGAGTTTATTTTAGTTGGGGGGTTGGGTTGGATTGGTGAGGGGATATAAGTTTGGATAGTATATGAGGATTGGTAGGTTGGGGAGTGGGAATTAATTTTGATAAATTGAGGGGTGTGGGGGGGTTGTTGGATTTTTTATGTTGGGGGGGTATTGGGTTTTGGAGTTGGTGAATAAGATGATGAGATATTTTATGGATAGGAGAAGTGGTATGTGAATATGTAGGTAAGGATTTGGGGGTGGGGTTTGGTGGAATAGAATTTGGGTGAATTTATTGAGGTAAATATGGTTAGAGGGGATAATGGGGGAAAGGATAGTTATTTGGTATTGGTGTAGTGATTATGGGTGGGGGGGGGGGTTGATTTTAAGGGTATATTAGGGGTAAGGGGGTATTAGGGTTTGGGTAGTTTGGGTTTGGGGATGGTTGAGATGGGGTTGGAGGTGTTGGGGAGTTTTTTAATTTGGGTTTGTTGGGAGTTATGTAGTGAGGAGGGTTTATAATGGGGGAGTGGAAAGGGGTTATGGGAGTGTTAGGGGGTAGGGTAGAGAGTATGGTTAGGATTAGTTTATTTTGGGAGGGTATGTTGAAGGGGATTAGGTTATTTTAGATGAGGGGAGATGGGGGTGGTTGGGGTTTTGTTTTTTTGGGGTTTTTATGGTTGTGTTGGGTGTTTTTGGAGTGGGGGGGTGGGGGGTGGTGGGTGTTGGGGGGTGGGGTGTGGGGTGGGGGTTGGGGGGGTTTGTGGGTTGGGGGGTTGGGGTTTTTGTGGGGGGGGTTGTGTGGGGGTGTGGGGGGGGGTTGGTGTGTGTTTGTGTTTGGTTGGGTGGTTTGGGGGGTGGGGGGTTGGGGTGGGGTTGGGGTGGGGGGTGTGGGGGGTGGGGGGGGGTTTGTGGTTTTGGGTGGTTGGTGGTGTGTTGGTGTGGGTGGGTTGGGTGTGTTGTTGGTGGGGTTGGGGGTTTGGTGGGGTTGTGGTGTGGGGTGTGGGGGGTGTGGTTGTTGTGGTTTTGGGGTGGGTTGTGGGGGGGGGGGGTTTTGAGGTTGTTGTGGTTTGTTGTTTTGTTTTGTGTTGTTGTTTGTTGTTTTTTGTTGGAGTTGTTTGTGTTGGTGTTTTTGTTGTAGTGTATTTATTGATGGTTTGTATGATATGGTATTGAATGGGTGTTGTTGGAGAGGTGTTGGGTATAGTGGTGGGAGTAGAGTGTTAGGGATAGGATAGGTGGTGGTAGTAGTTTTATAGGGAATATTAGAGTAGAAGAATGTAGATAGTTGAGGTTTAGAGTAGAGTAGAGGGGTTTAGGGATTGGGATGGAGGGGTTGTGTGATGTGTTGTTGGATGGGGGGAGGGGGGGGGTTGGGGTGGGGGTGGGGGGGGTGGATGTGTTGTGATAGGTTGGGTGAGGGGGTGATTTGGTAGGGTTTTGGAGGGATAATGTTGATTTGGTGGTTTTGTGTGTTTGGGAAGGAGGGATGGGATATATGTAAGTAGGTAATAGTGGGGAAGAGGATTGTGTAAGTGGGTGTTAGGGTTGGGGGTTGTAGGAATGTTGGGGGGAGGTAGTGGTAGGATTTTTGAAATGAATTGATGGTTTGGAGGTATGGTGATGTTTGTTGGGGTGAGTTTTTAGGTATTTTTTAGGGGGTTGGGTTGAGGATTTTGGATGTTATATGTAGGTGGATTGGGGTTGTTTTGTTGGGATAGGTGGTGTGTATTTCTAAGGTTTGGTGTGAAGGTGTAGGGAATATGTTATTGGGGGTTTATGAAAGAGAGGGAATAGAAGAGAGGGTGTGAGGTTATGGGTTTTTAATTTGTGGTGTGTGGGGGGGGTGGGTGGATAGGTTAGTATTAGGGGTTTTATTAAATTGATTTTTTTAGGTTTGGTAATGGAAGGGGGGGGGGGATTGGGTAGTGTAATCTGGTAAAAATAGATGGTGGTAAGATGAGGTTAAGAATTGAGGGAAGGGATGGTGGAGTTGGGTAGGATTTGTTGTGAAGAGAGATTATTATTATTAGGTGGTGGTGGTTTGTGTGTGGGTGGGAGGTTGGATTTGGTGTTTGTTAGGTTTGTATTGTGATTGTAGTGCGAGAATATGGTGGGGGAGGGTTGTGAAATATATAAAGGTTTATAAGGGTATGGAGTATGGGGGGGAGGGGGGGGTTTATGGGGTGGAGGGAATTTTTTGTTAATTATTGAGTGATTGTGGGGGGGGGATATTTAGGGATTATGAGAAATTTGTGTGAGTAAAGGTATAAAGGTGGGTAGGGGAGAGATGTAGGGAGGGGTTAGGGAGAAGGTGGGAAGTATGGGTATTAGGGGAGAGAAAAAGGTGGGTAATGGTGGGGGGGGTTATGAGGGGGGGGGGTGGAGATGGTGAAGGAGGATTTGGATGGATGGGGGGTGGAGGGAGTGGGTTTGTAGGGGGTGTATTTTGGTTGGGTTGGTTTTGAGGAAAAGAGAGGAGAGGAAGTGTTATGATTTGGTTTGTGTTAGGGGGGTTTTATAAATGGGAGGGGGGAGGGTTTTGGGTGAGGTCTGTGAAAGGGGGTGGGGGATTGGGTTGATTTTTTTAAGGTAAAGTGTGTGGGTGGTGGAGGGTTTTGGTATAATGTTGGAGAAAGTAGAGTAGGGGTTGATTGTTTGTTGATTGAGATAGGGAGATGAGTGTTTGTTTAGGTTAAGTTGGAGATGAGGTTTAATATGGGTTAGGGTTGGTAAAGTAGGAATGTGTAGTATGTATTGAGGTTGTGGTATGATGATGATGGGTTTAAATTGGTTGGTTTGTGTGTTGTGTGGTTGGTGGGATGTGGAGTGAGGGGGTTAGTGAGGGGGGATGAGTTTCAATTTGGATGTTAATGAGGGTAGATGATTAAGATTAAGAATGGATGAGAAGGGGATTTGGGTTTGGATAGGGGGGAAATGGAGAAATAGTGAGGTAGGAGTAAAGGAAAATTAAGGTAGGGTGAAGAGGGGGGATGTAAAGTTTAGGGGGTTGGATGTGGAATTGGGTGGTGATATGAGTGAAGGGATGGGAGGTGGTGGTGTTGTGTGGGTGAGTGGTTGTGTGTTGTGTGAATATTTAGTAAATGAATTAGGGGTTTAGATATGGGTGGGGTGTGGTTGGTTGTATATTTCTATGTGGAGTGGGGAGAGGGGAATTGGGGGGGGGGTAGGGGGGGGAGGGGTGGATGTGTTTAGGGTTGGGTTTGTAGGGTGGATAGGGGGTGATGGGGTAAGTGTTTATTAGGGGGAATTTATTTGTGTAGATGGAGGGTTAAAGGGGTTGGGGATAGGAAGTTTGTTTGGATTGGGTGGGGGGGGGTGATATGTAATTTTGTTGGAGGGGGGTAAATGTGGGGGGTGTTGAAGAGGATTTTGGGGTTTGGTGAGGGTAGTGGTGGTGTGTTGGGGTTAAATTTTGGTGAATAATTTGTGGGTATTTATGGTTTGTGTTGTAGTATTTATTGTGTTTTATGAAGAATAGAGAGGGTTTTAGGTGGGGGGTGTTTAATTGGGGGTGGTTTGTTAGGGGAGGGTTGGAAGGTGGAGAGGGGGGGGGGATGAGTGGGGAGAGGTTGTTGAGGGGATGTTTTTGGTGGGGGTATGATTAGGGTGAGATTTTAGGGGTGGGGGATTGAAAGGGTATTAGAGGATATGGGTGTTTTGGTTATTGGTGTAGTATTTGGGTTTGTTAGAAGTGATGGGTAGAGGGTATAGGGGGTGTTTAATGGAGAATAAGATTATGTTATATGTAGGGTTATGGGGATGGGATGGGATGGGGGTATTTGGTTTTGAGGAATGGGGGGAGGAATTTAGTTTGGGTAAGAATGTGTGAAGTGGTAAATGGGTGTGGGATGGAATTTTGGGATTAATATTGGTAATGGGGGGAGTGGGGGGTGAAGGGGGTTGGAAGTTAGGGTAAGGTTTAGGGGGTATGTTGGATGTTAGTTAGGTGGGTGTTATGTGGGGTGATGGGGGGGTAGTTTGATGGGGGGTGTTGGTGATAGGGGATGATATTGGAAGGAGGGGGGGTTTGGTGTAATTATTTAAATTTTTTAAGAAAAAAAAGGAGGAGTTTTATTGGGGATGGAGGGGGGAGTTGATTAATTAGGTTTAAGAGTTTGGGTAGGGAGGTGGTGGGTGGGGAAGGGATTTGTGTATGGTGGTTGTTTTGGTTTTTGAGGAATGGGGGGGTGTTGAAGGTGGAGTTGGGGGAGGTAATGTTGAGGGGGGGGTTTTATTAATGAAATTGAGTGTTTGGGTTGGGGAGGTAGATTGATAGGTATATATTAGATGAAGTTGTTTGGTTTTGTTTGGGGAAGGGTAGTGGTTTTATTATATGAGATGGATAGGATAATGGTGAAAATTTAGAGAAATGATTGGTGGTTAAATAAAGAGAAGAGTGAGAGGTTGAGTATTTTGGATAAGGTTGATAAATATTATGTAAGTAGGTGGGGTAGGGTGGATATGGGTAGGGTGTTGAATTGGGGTGGGGTGTGGGATAAGTATATAGTGTGTGAAAAAGATGATTTGGTGGGGGTAATAGGAGTGAGGGATGAGGGGTGGAAAGAGGAGAGGGGGGTGGGTTATGATGTATGTGTGTATTTATGTTGGGGATGTTTGGATTTATGTAGGGGGTGGAGTGTGTAGGGGGGGTTGGTGTGGGGGGGGTGGTGTTTGGTGTTTGGTGAATGATGTGAATAGGGGTAAGGGGAGGGGGGGTTGAGTTTGAGTGGTGGGGTAATTGGGGGGATAATTGGGGGGGGGTGTGTTTGTTGATAGGTATGAGTATTGAGGGTTTATTGGTGGTTTAGTTTGTTTGGTTTATTGTTTATTAGTATTATTGTGTATGTATTGTGGGGATGTATGTGTATTTGTATTATTTTTTTATGTGTATGTTATGTGTATAGGTGTTGTTATGTGTATTATGTATTATTATGTGTAATGTATTTTGTGGAAGTTAGGGTTATATGTGTATTTATGTGGATGTTATGTATTATTGTAGTTACTTTATAAGTTATGTGTATGTATGTGTTTGAGGTAGGATTATTTTTATTTGATTTTGGTTTGTTATGTGTATGTATTTGGATTATTATGTTTATGTAATGTGTGTCGTATGTAGTATTTATTATGTATGTTTATTAGTTGTATGTATGTATTATTTGGATGTATTTATTTTTATTAATATTGTATTATTTGATTATTAGTTATTATATGTAAGGAGTATGTGTATTAGTTTTTTGTTGATATTGAGGGTGGGTTTTGGTGGTTATTTAATTATATAGATGTGTGGTGGGTTTATTTACTGGAGGATGAGGGTTGGGTGAAAATTTATTATATAATATTTTATTATTATATTTTATTGAATTTGGTTTTTTTTGATATGGTAAGAGAAGGAGGGTAAGAGGTGGTATATTAGGGAAGGAAGGAGGTAGAGTTATGGTTGAAGAAGAGTAGAGTGATATTAGGGGAAGAAGATTAGAAGTGGTATATGGAGAAGAAGAGGTTAGAGTGGTATATGGTAAAGAAGAAAGTAGAGGTTGATTATGGTTATAGAAGAAGGATGGGTAATGTAGATTGAGGGGATGTGGATGTGAGGGTGGTGGTTTGGTGGTGGGGAAGTGGTAAGTTTGTAGGAGGGGGTGGAGGTAAGAAATTGTGGGGGGTTTTAGGTGAGTATATTTGTTAAGGTATGATATGAAGATGTAATGTGGTAAATTATGGTCATGATTAGAATAAGGATAGGGAAGGGGGTGGTGTGTAAAGGTTATATAGGTGGTTATGGTGGGGATATTTTTTGAAGAATTTTGAGATATAAATTATTTTTTAATTATAATATTGGATAGGGTGGGTGTTTGGTAATATATGTGGGGGTAGTTAGTAATGGGTGGTTGTTTGGGAATATATGTGGGAGTAGGGAGTGTTGGTTTGGGGAATATATGTGGGGGAGTAGGATGTTTTGTTTTGGGATATATGTGGGTGATGAGTAGGAAAAGGGTGTGGTTTTTAATATATGTGGGGGAGTGAGTAGGGAGGTGGTTTGTTTTAATATATGTGGGAGTAGAGGGTGTTGGTTTGTAATATATGTGGGGGAGTAGGGAGGTTTTGGGTGTGGGAATATATGTGGGGGAGTTAGGGAAGGGTGGTTGGTTTGGGAATATATGTGGGAGAGGAGTGGTTGGGTTAATATATGTGGGGGAGTAGGGAGGTGTTGGGTTTGGGAATATTATTGGGGGAGGTAGAGGTGTTGGTTTGTAATATATGTTGGGGTGTAGGGAGGGTGTTGGGTGTGGTAATATATGTGGGGGGATTAGGGAAGGGTGGTTGGTTTGGAATATAGTGGGGGGAGTAGGGAGGGTGGTTTGTTTGGAATATATTGGGGTAGTAGGGGATAAATTATATAGTGAGGTAGGAGTATGGGGGGTGTTGTGGGATGTGGTATGGGGGGGATTTGGGATGGAGAATGGGAGGTTTTGGGGGGGAAGAGTAGAGTAGAGTAGAGTAGAGTAGAGTAGAGTTGAGTATAGTAGAGTAGAGTAGAGTTAGAGTAGAGTAGAGTAATATGGGGTGTAGGGATAATGAAAAAGGGTTTAATGGTAAATGGAAGGAGGGTGAAAGATGGAAGGGGAGTGAATTTTTGTATGTGTGGTTTTTATGGTTTTTGAATTTAGGTGTTAATGTGTGGAAGGTTTTTGTGTTTTGTTGATTTTGGGAGATTGAGGTTGTGGGTGAGGTTGGGGTAAGGGTTTATTGTGAGGATTGGTATTTGGATTTTGGTGAGGGGGGGAGGGTTGTATTTTTGGAGAAAGGGTTGGTTTGTGTTTGATGATGGAGGGTTTGTGTAGTTGGTAGGGGGGAATGGTTTGAGGGGGGGGTTGGAGGGATTTTGGAGAATTTGTTTTGTTTTGGAATAGTGGGTAGTTGTGGGGGTGTGGGGGGGGAGAGTAGGAGGTTGAATGAAATAATAGATGTTGAAAGGAGTAAATTTAGGAGAAGGATGAGTGTGATAGGATAGTTTTTTTTCATATATGATTTGGGTGGGGGAGAAGAATATAGAGGAAGGTGATGATGTTTTTATAGAATGAATGGGGAAAAGAGAGTAGAAATTTTTATTGTTAGGTATGAAGGTAGTATAAAAATGGGGTGGGGGGTGTGTATGGGGGAGATAAATGTATATTGTATGGTATAATTTATAATTTGATTAATGGTTGTTTTTGTTGGAGGGGATTTGGGTATGTGGTGTAAAGAGTTGTAAAAGGAGGGGGGGAAGTGGGGGTTGAGAGGGATTTTTTTGGTTGAGGGGGGGGGGGGGTGTTGAAGAGGGGAAGTTGGATATTTATTAATTAGTGAGAGGTTTGGTATTTATTTGTTGGTTTGAGGTGAGTGAGTTGAATGATGAGGGGTGTGTGGTGTGTGATGTGTGTTTTTTTGGTGTTGGTGTGTGGGTGGTGTTTTGATATTTTGGGTTGCAGGGTGAATTTTGGTTAGGGTAGGGGTTGTGAGGGGGGTGGTTGGGGTGTAGTTTGGGGTTTGATGTATTTGGTGATTGTTGGATGTGTGCTTTTATGTTGATTTATTGTTGTGAGAGATAATATATAATTAGGAGGTGGTAGGTTTTGAGTGTGATTTAAAAGGTTTGATAATGTTTTTATGTATTACGTTATAATGTTTTTGATTTTTTCATATTAAAAAAAAAGTTATAACTAGTATGTCACTATAAAAAGTGACTTGTGTAGAAATGATTACAAAGTGGAGATGTTTTGAAAGATAATAATATTATTATGTTTTTTCTTTTGTTAGTTAGCTTTTTATTGATTGGAATTTAGTATAGTGATAGATGAGTATTTAATGTTGGATATGTTTTTTTACATGTGATTGTGTGGTGGTTGGGGTGATTGGTATTATGTGGATTATATTAAAACTCTTGATTGTATTTTTTTTGAAGTTATGTAAAGGAGGATATATTGATGAGGAGTTTTAAGTGTGGGTTTTTGTGGTAAAAGGTGTATTTTTATAGATCGTAATTAAGGGGGTAATGGGGTTAGGTGGAATTTAAAGGATACTAAGGGTAAAGGTGATGTAAATGGGATTTAGTATAAAGAAAGGGGATGGTGTAAGTGTTTTTAAAGGTAGAGATGGGCCGTTGTATGGGGACAAAGATGGTAGGGGAGTGGATAGGCTGGAGATATGTTATTGTAGGGGTAAAATGTAAATAATGATGGGGTAGAGTGATGGGTGTTTTGGATGTGTTATGAAGTTGTTTTGGTTGATATATGTGGGGTTGTTTGAGGAGAAGACATAGAAAAAATTGGGGGGTGTGGTAGGTTTGAATAGTTGTTTTTTTGTTGTATTTTTTGTGGTTGTTGGGATGGGGTTAGGTGGGGGGTGATAGGGATGTAGGATGTTTTTATGGTTGAGAAGGGTTATTTGTTGAGTGGAGGTTGGTTTGTTAGTGGAGGGTGGGAAGATGGAATTTGGTTATGGGGGGTGAGGGGGGTTTATTTGTTGGGGGAGGGGGAAATGGGTTGTTGAGGGGGGTTTGAGATTTGGTTTGTATGAGGTAATTGGGTGATTGGGAGTAGGTGGGATGATAGGGGTTATGGTTTTGAGGGGGAGATGGGGAGGGTGAGAGTGGGTGATATGTGTGGTGGGGTGTTTAATTAATTTTAGTTGTTTAAGGGTAGGGGGATAGTTAGGATTGAATATTGGGGGGTGTGGTGTGGTGTGTGTGGTGTGGTTTTGGTGTGGTTGTTGGTTGGGGTGGGTGTGGTGTGGTTGATTAAATAGGGAGTTGTTAATAGGGTTTGAATAGGGTTTTTTTTGGAGTTGTAGGTTTGAGTGAAATTTAGGGGGAGTTGTGTGTTTGGGGGGGGGGTTATGTTGTTTAAAGAGGGGGGAAAGGGTAAAGAATGAATGTATGTGTTTAAAGAGGGGGAAGGGTAAGGTTGAATGTATGTTTTATAGAGGGGGGGGAAGGTAAGATGAATGTATGGTTTTAAATAGGGGGGAAGGGTAAGGATTAAGTATGGTTTTAAAGAGGGGGGGAAAGGTTAAGGATGAATGTATGGAGGTTTAAAGATGGGGGAAGGGTAAGGATAATTATGGTGTTTTAAAGAGGGGGAAAGGGTAAGGATGAATTATGGTTTTAAAGAGGGAAAGGGTAAGATGAAGTATGGTTTTAAAAGGGGGGGGAAGGGTATGAATGAATGTATGGTGTTTAAAGAGGGGGGGAAGGGATAAGGATGAATGTATGTGTTTAAAGAAGGGTGGAAGGGTAAGGATGATGTATGTTTTAAAGAGGGGGGGAAAGGGTATAAGGATGAATTATGGTTGTTTTAAAGAGGGGGGAAAGGGTAAAGGATGAATTATGGTGTTAAAGAGGGGGAAAGGGTATGGAGAATGTATGTGTTAAAGAGGGGGGGAAGGGAGGAGGAAGTAGATGGGGGGGGGGGGGGGGGAGGGGGTGTGGGGGGGGGGTGGGGGGGGAATTAGGGAAAGATGGGGGGGGATGATAGTTATGATGAAAAGTTTGGTTTATGGTGATTGGGATGTTTTGTATGATGGTGATGGGGGGTGGGGGGGGGGGGTTCGGGGTGGTGAGTAGTTGTAGTTTGTGTGGGTGGTGTGTTTGTTTTGGTGGGTATGATTGGGGATGTTAGGTGGTAGTGTTGAGGGTGAAGTGGAATTATGTTAGAATGGTATAGAGGTTGAAAATTGGAAGTATTGGGGAGAAATTTGGGAATAGGTGGGAAGGAAAGGGAGAAGATTAAAATTGGAATGAAAGAGAAGATGGAAAAAGTGTATGAAAGGAGAAGATTGAAATATGGTGGTATGGAAAGGAGAAGAATTGGAATATTAAGGAAATGGGAGGGGAAGAAAGGGTAGGGGGGAGGAGGGAGGGGGAGGAGAGAGGGGGGGTAAGTTTGGTTTGTAGGTTGTTGGGAGGGGGAATGAAGGGAGGGGGTAGGGGGGGGGGGTTAGATGGTGAGAGGAGAAGAGAAATTGGTGAAGATAAAAAGAAGAGAGGGAGGATGAGGGTGAGTAGGAAGGGGAGGGGGATGGAGGGAGGAAGGGGAGGAGAGGGAGGGGAGGAGAATGGGGGTGAAGGAGAGGGGAGGTGGGAGGGAGGAAGGGAGGGAGGAGGAAAGTGGGTAGGGGGAGGAGGAGAAGGGGTAGAGGAGATGGGAGGGAGAGTGGGGGGAAAAGGGAAGGAATGTTAGGTAGGGAGAGGGAGGAGAGGGAATAAGGAGGAGAAGAGAGGAAAAAGGAGGAGGAAGTGGGGGGGTGAGAGAATGTGATTAGTGTGGGGGAGGAAAGGGGGTGGAGGTGAGAGGTGTGTGATGGAGAGGAGAGGAGAGGGAGGGAGAGTGGGAGGGAGTGATGTTGAGGTGGATGATAGGAGGGTGTGTAGGAGGTAGTGTGTAGGGAGTGGTGGTGAGGTGAGGGGTGGTGAGATTGATGGGGGGGTTATGGAGGTTGGAGATGGGGTAGGTAGGATTGAGTTTTTATATGGGGTTTTTAGAGGGTTGTAGGTATGAGGTTGGATATTTGATAGGGTATTTGGGTGAGGAGTGTTATGGGTGTATGGGTTTAGGGATTATTGTGATAGAGTTGTATTAAATAAAGTTGAGTGTTTTGAAAGGGATGGAAAAGGAGAGGAAGGGGGAGAAGGAGGGATAATGTTATATAGGGTTATTTGATTATGAGGATGTTTAAGGAATTTGAAAAGGAGGAGGGTGGGGGAAGAGTATGTAGTTTTGTATATATTGGAGGTTGTTTTGTGAAGATGTTTAATTTGTAGGTTGGAGGGGGTAAGAGTATGGGGTTTGGGGGATTTGTATTTAGTTGATGTTGGGGGAAGGGGGTAGTTGAGTGGGTGGTAAAGGTGTATGGGGGAATAGGGAGAGGGGGGGGAATTGTTTGTATAGGAAGTGGGATTGTAGGTGGTGTTGGTGAAGTGGGTGGGTTGGGGATGTTGGTATAAGGGTGTGTGGGGGAGGGGGTTATTTTTGTGGGGGATTATATGGTAGTAAGAAGAGTTTAATTTAGGTGTGGGGGTTGGTTGGATGGGTAGGTGGAGATGAAGTTTGATTGGTTTTATATGGATGGGGATTGTGGTAGGGTGGGGAGTGAGAATTATTTTTGGAAATTTGAGGGGGTGTGGGGGGGGGGTTTTTGGATTTTTGGGTATTTGGGGATGTTGTGTGAGTTGGTGAATAAATGAGAGAATTTTGATTGATAAGGAATTTGATTGTAGAGATAGGAGGTATTTTGGGTTGGGTTTGTGGAAGGAATTTGGGGTGAATTTTAATGATTAATATGAATAGGAGGGGGGGGGAAAGTGGGAAAATGATAGTTTATTTGGGTATTTGTGTTAGTGGATGATGGGGTGGGGGGTTGATTTTAAGGTATTTGTTTTTTTTAATGTTTTGTAGGGTAAGGGGGGTATTTAGGTATGGTAGTTTGTGTTGGGAATTGAGGGATGGGGTTGAGTGTTGGGGGGAGTTGTTTTAATTTGGGTTTTGTTATTATGTAGTATGAGGTATTAAGGGGGAGGTGGAGGGGTATGGAGTGTTAGGGTAGGTGAGAAGTATGGTTAGGATGTTATTTTGATTTTGGGGAGGGGTATGTTTGAAAGGATTAGGGGGTATTTTAGATTGAGGGGGAGGATTGTGGAGAAGATGTTTTAGAGATGAATTTATAAATAAGTAATGATGAATGATAGAAATGGGATGGGTTTTTTTTATTGGGGGGAGGGGAGGAATTTTTGATGGGAGGATTGTGGGTGGTGGGGGGATGAGGGAGGGGTAAGGATAAAGGGTTGGGGGGAGATTGATGGGGGGGGTGATAGGGGGGTGATAGTGGATTAGTAGTAAGATTAAGTATGAGATGTATGGGGATGGGGAAGGGGAGGTGTGGTTTGTGGGGTTTTAAGGTGGTGGGGGGGTTGGTGAGATGTTATTGAGTTTTGTTTGGAGGAGGGTTGGTGTGATGGTTTGGTTTTGTGAGAGGAGGAGGGTTAACAAGGGGAGAGATGGAATGGTGAGAGTAAGTATATGTGGAGTTTAATGTGTAGGAGATGAGGGTAAGGATTTTTTATTTGTTGGAATATGTAGGTTTAATATTATTGTTGATGAGGGGGGATGGAGGGAATGATGTGGTAGTTTGGTGATGGGGTATGGGGGATGGGGGGGGGTTAGAAGTGGAAGTAGAGTTGAGAGATAAGAGAGAAGATGAAGATGATAAGGAAGAGGAGGAAGGGAGAAGAAGAGTAGAAGAGAATAAATGAAGATGAATTAAAGGAGAAGAAGGGATGAGGGGGAAGGAAAAGAAAAGGGAAAAGTGGATAAGGAAGTTATTGGGATAAGGGATATAGTTTAAGTTGTGAGAGTGATATGGGAAGTTAGGGTGGGGGGTTAGTATTGTAAAGGGAATTGAGTTAAGGAATGTAATAGAGTAAGTGAGAGGTAGATAGAGGGGGGTTTAGTGGAGTTAGTGGAGTAGTGGGATGGAAAGGGTATGGGATTAATGGTTAAGGGGGGGGGTAATAGGTTGTTGGTTGGGAGTAGTTTGTGTGTTATGTGTTGGAGGTGGGTGAAAAGTAAGGTGTTTTGGATGGGGGGAATTGTTATGTTGTTTTTGTGGGTATGGGGTGGAGATGGTATAAAGAAGAAGAAAAAGAGGAAGAGGAATTTAGTAATAGTTGTTTATTGGTTGGGGGGGGTTTGTAAGGGATGAATGGGGAGGAGAGGGTAGGTTAGTTGATGTGAAAGTTAAGGGGATTGGTATTGGATGGGAGGGGGTGATTATGTGGTGTATGTAGTTTTTGGTTATTTTGGGGGTGGGAATTTGGTGTTTTTATTAATTATTTGGATTGGTTTTTTTTTATATGGGAATGTTATTTAAGTTGAATGTTTGGTTTGAATTTAGGAAATTAAATAGGTGTGGGTGTTGATATTGATTGGAATATGTGTAGGTGTTAGGGGTGAGGATGGGTGGTTATGATGGGGTGTTGGGGGTGGGTGATATGTTTGTATTAGGGGGGTTTATTATTTTTTTTGTAGGTTTTGGGTTAATGAAAGGGGGATTGGGGGGGTATGAATGATGTAGATGGTTATAGAGGAAGTATGAGGGTAGGATGGTGGGAGGTTGGGTTAGGGATTTGTTGTGAAGAGTTATTTTATTTTGTGGTTTTTTTTGGGGTTGGAGGTTGTTGTTTTTGGTTAGGGTTTGGATTTGGAGGTATAGATAGATGGTGGGGGGGGGAGTGGGAATATAGGAAGAGTTTTAGTAGGTATGGGTGTAGGGGGGGGAGGGGGGGGGGGGTTATGGGTGGGTGGAATTGTTGTTAAGTATTGAGTGATTGGGGGGGGGAGTAGGGGATTTAGGAGAATAATTTTGAGTAAAGTATTATGGGTAGGGTAGAGATAGGAGGTTGAGAGTGAAGTAGGGGTGGTAGGGGAGAGAAAAGGTGGGTAAATTGGGGGGGGGGTTATGGGGATGGGGGGGGGGAGAGGGGAAGAGGTATTTGATTAGGGGGGGGGTGAGATGGGGGTGTAGGGTGGTTTTGTGGGTGTGGTTGTAGGAAAAGAGTGGAAGGTAATGTATATGTTTTTTGGGTGTTTAGGGGTTTGATTAAATGGAGGGAGGTGGGGGTGGAGTTTATATGGGGGTGGGAGGGGGGGGAGGTTGTTATGGAAGTGGGGGGGGGTGTGTATTTGATTGGTGGGGATGTAGTTAAGTATGATGGTTTTGGAGTGAGAGAGGAGTTGAGTGTGTGGTTTAGGTTAAGTGAATTGAGTTTTTTTTGGTTTAGGGTTGGAAATTAGGAATTGGGTAGTATTGTGGATGAGTTGGATGATTATATGTTAATTGTGTGTTTGGTTGTGTGTTGTTGATTGATAGGGGTTTTAGGAGGGGGGATGGAGTTTATTTTGGTTGGTTAATGAGGTAGATGATAAATTAAGAGGAAGAATGGGATTTGTTTTGATTGGGGAATGTGAGAATAGGAGGTAGGGTAGTAAAGAAATAAGGGTAGTGAAGGAGGGATGTAAGAGGTAGGTTTATGTGAATTGTGTAATATGAGAGTGGATGAGGGTTGGTGTGTTGTGGGGGGTAGTGTTGGTTGTTTGTTATATATTAATTTAATAAGTAGGGGTGTAATATGTGGGTTTGGGTTGGTGGGTTATTTTAATTTTTATATTTAGTTGGAGGTGGGAGGGGGGGAGTGGGGTTAGGGGGGGGGGGAGGGGGTTGGATTGGTTAGTTGGGTGTTGTAGGGGGTGGATAGGTTTGATGGGTAAGGTTTTATGTAGAATGTAGTTGGTAGAGGAGGGTTAAAGGTTGGGGATTGGAAGGTTTGGGGGTGTGGGGGGGGGGGGGGGTGGGTTGATAGTTGTAGTTTGTTGAGGGGTTTAAAGGTGGGGGTGGTGGGAGATTTTTGGGGGGGGGAGGTAGTGGGGGGTGGTAGATGGTTTATAAGTTGGTGGTTGGATGGTGGGTGTAGTTAGGTGGTGTTATGAAAGATTTGTGGAGTTTAGTGGGGGGTTGTGGAAGGGGGGGGGGGGGTGGGTGTGAGTATAGTGAGTAGGGGGGGGAGTTGGGGTAGTGGGTGTGGTGGGGGGGGGGTGGTGGTGGGGGTGGGTGGGTAGGGGTGGGGGGGGAAGTGGTATATGGGGTGGTGTGTAGTTATGGTGGTTGGGGGTTGGGTTATGTGGTTTTTTGGGTTGGGGTGTGGGTTTTGGGGGGGGGGGTTGGTGTGTAGTGTGGTGTTGGTGGGTGGGGGGTTGGGGTGAGGGTAGGGGGGGGTGTGATAAGGGATGGAATTGGTGTTGGGGTTAGATAGGGGATAGGGGGGTATGGGGGGGGATATATGTGGTTTGTTGGTGGTGTGGGGGTTGGGTTGTGGTGGGTGGGGTGGGGGGTGGGGGGTGTGGGGGGGTTTTGGGTTGAGGGGGAGGGGGGATGGTGGGGGTATTGGGAGGGATGTGGGGAGGGGTGGGGGGTGTGGGGAGTTGTTGTGTGGGTGTTTGTGGGATGGGTGGGGGTGGATTGTATGGTGTAGTTTGATAGTGGTGTGGGGGAGGGGGAGGGGGGTGGGGTGTTTGTGTAGGGGTGGTGGGGTGGGTTTTGGGGGGGGGTTATTGTTGTTGGTGGGTAAGTGTGGGGGGGGTGGGTTTTTTTTATGGGTTGGTGGGGGGGTGTTTGTGAGGGTAGTGAGTTGAGTTGTGTTGGGGGTGTTTTGGGGAAGGGTAGGTTATATTATAGGAGATATTGTTAATGGGGAAAAGTGTAGATATGTTTGTGTTAATGGTAAGAGAGAGTAGGAGTGAGGTATGTTGGGATGAAGGTTGATAAGTTTAGTATGTTATGGGTAGGGTTGTGATGGGAGGGGTGTTAATGGGGGGGGTGGGAATGAAAATAAGAGGATTTGTTGGTATAGGGGGGAGTGAGGATGAGGGGTGGAAGAGAGAGGGGGGTGGGGTTAGATGTCATATTGGGGGATTTGGGATATTAGGGGTGGAGTGTGGGAGGGGGGGGGGTGTGGGGGGGTGGGGGGGGGGTGTTGTGTGGGTGTTGGGTAATATGTGAAAAGGGGGTAAGGGGATGGGGGGGGGTTGAGTTTGATTGTGGGGTAATTGTGGGATTAATTTGGGTGTGGGTTGGGTTGGTTGGATATGTGTTTTTTAATATGAGTATGTTATAGGTTTATTGTGGGTGTAGTTTTAGTTGTGGGGGTTGTATGTGTGTGTTAAGTGGATTATGTATGTTTTATGTATTGTGGATGTAATTATTGTTATTATGTGTTTTAATGTGTATTTATTGTATAAGGTGTGTTGTAATTGTATGTATGTCTGTTATTTATGTGTATGTTATTGTGTGAGAATGTATGGTGTATGTGTATTATGTGGATTATTATTATTGTAGTTATTTATGAGGTGTATGTGTATGTATGTTTTGGATGGGTAGGGATGATATGTTTTAATTGTGATGTTTTGTTTTGTATGTGTATGTTATTTGATGTATTGTATGTTTATTATTTTGTATTATTATTATTTATTATGGGTATTTTATGTATGTTGTATGTATATGTATTTGATTATTATGTTTATTATATTTATTATTTGATTATGTATTTTATGTATATTTATGGTTATTTATTATGTGTTATGTGTGTATGAGGTTGAGGTTGGTTTTGGTTTATTTATATATATAGATGTTTTGTTTAATGTTATGGAGGATGGAGGGTTGGTTGGAATTTATTATATAGGTATTGTTATTATGTATCAATGTTGTATTTAATTTGTGTTTTGTTGTGATTTAAAGGAAGATAGAGTAGAGGAGTGTGATATGGTAGAAGAAGAGTAGATGTATATGGGTAGGGAAGAAGGAAGGGGTAGAGGTAGTGATATTAGGAAAAGAGGGTAGAGTGTATATGGTAGAAAGAAGAGGGTTAGATGTATATGGTAAGAAGAAGGAGGTAGAAGTGTGATATGGGTAAGAAGAATGAGTAGATGTATTTTGAGGGGATGTGGATGAGAGGGTGGTGGTGGGTTGGGGGGAAGGGGTAAGGGAGGGAGGGGGGGGGGGAAGAAAGGGGTTGGGGGTGTTAGGGAGTATTTTTGTTAAGGTATTGATGATAAGATGTATGTGGTGAAATTATTAATATTATATAAGAGAGGAAAGGGTATGAAGGTGATATCGTTTATGTGATAGTTTTGAAGAATGTTGAGAGTAGATTATATTATTTTTAATTATATATTGGAATGCGTTTGGTAATATAGTGGGAGTAGGGGGAGGTGTTGGTTTGAATATATTGGTGAGTAGGTATTTGGTTTAATAGATTGGTGAGTAGGGAGTGTTGTTGAATATATTGGGAGTAGGGAGTGGGTTGGTTTGTAAATTTATGTGGGGAGTAGGGAAGGTGTTTTTGGTAATATATTGATATAGGAGTGGTTGGGTTTTAATATATGGTGGAGTTAGGAGTGGTTGGGTTGAATATATTGGGGGGAAAGTAGGAAAGGTTTGATTTGGGAATATATGGGGAGTTGGATTGTTGGGTTTAATATATTGGGAGGAGTAGAAGTGTTGTTTAATATTTTGGGGAGTAGGGAAGGGGGGTTGGGTTTTGTAAGATATGTGGTGGAGTAGGATGGTGGTTGGTTTGTAAATATATGTGGGATTAGGATGGTGTTGGGTTTGGTAAATATGTGGGGGAAGTTAGAGTAGTTGTTTAATATAGTGGGGTGGAGTAGGGGATAATTATATTAGTGTGGGTAGGATATGGGGGGGTGTGTGGGTGGTGGTGGATGGGGGGGGGGGGGATTTGGATGGAGAATGGGGGGAGGTGTTTGGGGGGAAGAGTAGATTAGATTAGAGTAGAGTAGAGTAGAGTAGAGTAGAGTAGAGTGTATAGTAAGTAGATAGAGTGTAGAGTAATATTGGGGTGTAGGATAATGAATGGTGGTTTTAAGGTAATGAAGGAGGTGAAGGGAGGGGGAAGGGAGTTGAATATTTTTTATGTGTGGGGGTTTAGTGTGTTATTTAGGTCTTTAATTGGGTTAGGTTATTGGTGGTTTTGTGAGTTTTTGGGATTTGAGGGTTTGTGGGGTGAGGTTGTGGTGAAGGGGTTTATTTGTGCGGATTGGGTATTTGATTTTGTTGAGGTGGGGATTTTGTGTATTTTTGAGAAGGGGTTGGTGTTTTGTTTGATTATGGAGGGTTTGTTTGTAGTTGGTAGGGGGAAGGGGTTTGAGGGGGGGTTGGATGGGATTTTGGGAGTATTTTTGTTTGTTTTTAAAGGGGTTTAAGAGGTGGGGGTGTGGGGGGAGAGTAGGGGGAGGTTGGATAATAGAAATAAAGATGGGTGGGTAAGAGAGTAAATATAGGGGGAGAATGTTATGAGGTGTGAAGATATTTTTTTTTAATGATATGATTTGGTGGGGGAGAAGGAGGATATAATAGAGTATGGGTTGATTGATGGTATTTATATAATGATGGGAAATATGGTAGAAGGAAAAATGTGTATGGTTAGTTATGAAGTAGAAAAAAAATGGTGGGGGGAGGTGTATGGGGAGGAAAATTGGTATTATGTTGATGGGGGTGAATAATGGTATAATGTTATACTGGTTGTAGTTTTTGATGTGGTTTGTCTTTGGTGTATAATAGGTGTTTAAACGGAGGGTGGTGAAATGGGGTTTAGAGATATTTTTGGTTGTAAGTGTGGGGTGTGGTGTTATAGGGACATTGTTGGATATATTTATTATTATAGAGGGAGTTGTCAGTGTCTTTTGTTAGAGAGCGGTAAGATAGGTTGAATATTCTGTGTTGTGAGAGAGTTTGTGTTTTTATTTGTATTGTGGAGTGAGGTATTGTTTAATGATACTTATGGTTTAATGGTTATTATTGTTAGGTTGGGTGGTGTTGGGCGGTGGGTGGGGGAAATTGTTGATCGCTTTAATTGTGTTTTGGTGGATGGGGGGAGTATTGATGGAGGTGTTGCTAGAGATATATTAGTATTAGTGTGGTGTGTTTTTGTGTTTATATATTGTTTTGATTATGGTTTTTTTGTATCAGTGAATATTGTTGGATGTTATATATTGTAACTAAATTTTATTTATAGTATGTATATAATATATTGTAAGTTTGTTAATTTGTTTAAAATGGGGTTATTGTATTGAAGAGAAATATTTTGTCATGTTGGTATTAGGTTATTTAGATTTTATTGGGTTGATTGTGTTCGTGTTTATATGAATTAGGATTTGGGAGATTTTTTTTACATTGTTTGTTTGTGGGGTGGGGTGTTGAGTGTATTATGTGAGGTATATTATATAATTGTGTTAAATTTTTGGGGAAGTGTTTAAAGGAGATAATATTAAAGGGAGTTAAGGGTTGTGGGAATAGGGTTTTTTGAGAGGAGAGAAGGAAGGGGTAAGGGTGAAGGGTAAGTAAAAGATAGAATGGTAATAAGGGGATGTAAATGGGATGAAGTTAATAGAAAGGGTGGAGGTTGAATGGGATGGGAAAGGATAGAGGGAAGTGTAGTGAAAATGAGGTGATGAGGGTATGGAAGATGATAAGTATTAGGTAAAGATGTTATAATGATATTGGTATAGTGGATGGGGGGGTGGGGATGTGTGATGAAGTGGGTTAGTGATTATATGGGGGGGTTTAGGAGATAATAAAACAAGTGGGTGGTTGGACTTATAGCTATTAGTAGTAAAAAATTTACTATTTTAGTAATTAGGGCTTTTATATTTTTGTGAGATATGTAGGTAGGGATGGTTTTATTTGGAGAATTGTTATTTGTTGAGAGAAGGTGTGTTTGTTATTTGAGGTTTTTAAGAAGGATTTGTGTATTTGGGGGGTGATGGGTGGGTTTTATTGTTGGGAGGGGGAAAAGTGTTGTTGAGGGTGTTTGGATATTTGGTAGGAAAGATTAATGTGGGTGATATGTCGGTAGGTGTGGATGATAGAGGGTTTATGTTTTTGAGGGAATTGGGGAGGTTGATAGTGGTGAATATGTTTGGTTATGTGGGGTTTGTTACTGGAAATTGTGGTCGTTTGTTGTAAGGGTAGGGTTGATATGTATGGGGATTGGAGATATTGGTGGTTGTGTGTGGTTGGTTGGTGTTTTGGTTGGTGTGGTTTGTGGTGTGGTTTGGTGTGGTTTTGTGATTAAATAGGGGAGATGTACTAGGGTGTTTGAAAATGGGTTTTTTTTTTTAGTTGTTTGTTTTAAGTTAATTTAGGTAGTGTTTTATTGGGGTGGTGGGGTTATGGTGTTTAAATATGGGGGGACGGGAATGATGAATTATTTTTCAAAGGGGGAAGGGTAAGGATGAATTTAATGGTGTTTAAAGAGGGGGGAAGGTAAGGATGGAATGGTATGTTTTAAAGAGGGGGGAAAGGTAAGTATAATGTATGGTTTTAAAAAGGGGGAAAGGGTAAGGGATTGAATTATGTGTTTAAAGAGGGGGAAAGGTAAGGGGTTAAATTATGTTTTTAAAGAGGTGGAAAGTGGTAAGGATTATTATGGTTGCTTAAAGATGGGGAAAGGTAATGAATAATTATGGTTTTAAATAGGTGGAAGGTGTAAGGATTAAGTATGTTTTAACTAGGTTGTGAAGGGATAAGGATGAATATGGTTTTTAAATAGGGGGGAAGGGTAAGTATTGAATTATGGAGTTTAAAGATGGGTGAAAGGTAATGATGAATGTATGTT